TTTTTGGCACCCCTCCCCTATGCCATTTACTATTATATGCCTATGCGTACTATAGCGTACAAGAACCTCTGTGACGCACGTTCAATTGATGCTTTACCTAAGTTTACTTTGATTGTTGAAATGAACTTATTTTTTGTCCCAAGAATTTTTTGCGTACAGGACGTACCCATAAGCGCTATGTTTTGTGTCGCTACTGCGTGTCGTCCCGCGCGCTCGTCACGCGAAGCGCCTGGGTACGAGGCAGAAAGAGGACATGATTTGAGAGGCGTGGTAGATGGGGTTAGATTACGTACTAAAGAATAGTTTAGGGAGCGTTTGTTAAAAAATGTTCCGTTTAGAATCCATGTGGTGTTTGGTCACGTCCTTCAAGGTCAAGATATTATCAGGGAAGTAGAAAATCAAAGAGTCGACTCAAAAAGTAAACCTATTAGTGATGTAAGAATTGCCAATTGTGGAGAGTTAATACCCAAGAGCCGTCTCAAAGGTAATTCCGTGAAGTTCGTTAGTGGTTGATGTTAATATAGTAGAAGTATATTATGAACAAGCTTTCGTTCAGGTTGGCAGGGATGAAACTACCTGAAAATATATAAGGAGGATTTCAATAGAAGTATATTAAGATTTAAGAAATAGTTTATAATTTGCCGTGATCATAGATATCTTATATACACTAGATAGCGCATCTCTTTTAGTAAAATTGAAGCCAAGAATATTCCAGCGGTTACCCCCATTTGAATAGATGGCGGCCATGTTGGTAGTTCCCACTCGCTAATAAACGCTTAAAAAACAACAATAACTTTCATCATTTGAATAGTTTAAAAATGTATTTGGAATAGGTTTAACTTAATGTTTAAGTTCCCTGTTTAATTTAAGAAATAGAAAACATACGAATCTTCTCATTTCATGGGAATATCCTGAGTCTGCAATCACAGCTTCAATTTTTGAATTGTAGAATAATTAGATGCACTATCTAGTGTATACATAAGATACTGTATCTATGGCCGTGACCAGACTATTTGGAACGTGTTTATTATACTAAGTATCAGATTATTGAAAAGTACAAAATGTTTGCTAAGTGCTGCAGTAATCTTATTTGAGGCGATATTAGTTATGTTTGCTGCATTGAGACGGTTGTTTAGAAATGATGTGCTTCTGCATCCCGGTATGTTCACTTAAACACCTCAAGTCATCCTCCGCCTTTCTAAATAACCTTTCTAACAACGGTTGATTAATGGCTTTGTTTTTTCACTTGTTTCCAGCAAAGAAACGGAAAGCTGTGAAGGAATCATCGGGCTCTGAGTCGAGCAGTTCAGATTCTGAATCATCGTCTGACAGTGAGAGCGAGAAGAAAAAGAGAAAAAGAAAACGTGAAAAACGAAAGAAAAGGAAGGAACGAAAGAAATCAAAACTTAAGGCAAAGAAGAAAAAGAAGCTAAAAGAAAAGGGGTAGAAATTACGCATCCTATCTACTGATAGATGAATTGCATGTAGGAAAAAATATGAACACTGGCGCTGTTTCCGTTACTTTGAAAAAGAGTTTTAGATTTGGCTGCCAGTTGTCACTACCTATTGAATGGCGCGTATACGAATTTTATTTGCCAAGAATAACAATTAAAGCCTCTTTTCAAAATTTGAAGTGTCACGATCTTCGCTGGCATATCTCTGGTAAACTGCGAAATTTAGCATGTGTCCATCATAATCCCCTGTTACCAACCTCTTGCTTTCCAACATATTGCTACCTTACCGTTAGCTACCGAATTGCTCATATTGTCATGATCAATGCCAGTACCAGTGATTAAAACTTTAAAGTTGACATACAATTGCACACCTCTCTTGAAAACTCGTGCCAATTTCTGTGACTAGTTATGTACATGTAACTTAATGTCAAAAACGTCTTTCTATGTGTTGACAATTGCACATTCAAGTTGTCTTTGTAGCATGGCGTTGTATATTTTCTCCTCCGATTTGTGCGAAAGAGAGGACGGACATTTTATACCTGAAGTTTTTTTGTTTGTTCAAGAAGTAAAAATAAAGAAACGAAGGACGATACGAATGAGCCAGAAGAAGAAGATGAAACAATTCCAAAAGTTCCAAGTAATAAATTCTTAATGAGACGAAGCCGTACTCCATCACCAGTCAGAGAAAAACGAGAGAAAGCCAGGTAATACAAGGTCTTTGCTACAATATTGTTGCGACAGTTGTTGTTGTAGTTTAGCTTGCATGCATGCAAGAGGACCTCTTAACGAAAACAGAAATCACATCTCGTAATCAAATCAGGGTCCAAGAAATACACAAGAATCGACTTCTCTAACTGTTTATTTTTATCAGACATGTTTTCGAGACATTCCTGTGCGAGATATCCACCGCCACCCCTATTCAAAGCGTTAGTATTTATATACTACGGTTCTAGGCAACGTCTCTGACCTTTAGTGCTGTCTCCTTGTTGGCCGATGATGTCATCCCTCGATGTGATACGTTGCGACCAGGGACGTCGTTAAGACATCAACATTTGGGGTCGTCATGTTTTGACCAACTTTTCCTAGAATTTTGACCAAGTAGTAGAAATGTTTCCCGAAAATGTTGTCGACGAGGGGGCGTTGTCAAAACATTTTCCGGACTAACATAAGCAAAGCTTCAAATATTTTTCGACAAAAATAAGCAAGGCTTGCAATTGTTTCCGCGCAAATTAAACATGACCAAAGCTTAGAAATTGTTAAAATTGCGAACGATTTCATAATTTTGACCATCTTTTATCTCAAACTTTGACCAAATTTTACGAAATTTGACCTTCAATTTTAAGCAAATATTAGTTCCATTTTGACCAACTTTGATCGTTTTGAATTATGGAGGGGGGTGTTACACCCCACACACACACCCCTGTAGCGACGTCCCTGGTTACGACCTTAGATCACCCCTGATGAAGAAACTAGACCGGAGTGTTGAATTATGCCGTAAATGCAATTCGACGCAAGACCAGAGAGTAGGGAGCGAAAACATGTCTAATATTAAACCTCGTGAACGAAAAAACTTCAAATGTTTTATTGTTATTCGAGAACATTGAATCACTAAGCTTATTCGAGCTTAGTTTGAACCTAGAATTAACACCCTTAGTTTGGGACGAACTAGACAGAATTATATAAGTTTAACGTACTTAACACACAACTTCATTACTGCTACTATTGCGTGTTGATACATGAAAAGCCTTGCGTGCTATCTGCCAAGACCAGGTGATAGTTGCTAAGTCTGAGAGACGAACCATCTTCCTAGATTTCTCTGAGAAAAACGTTTAAAAATAGACCTTGTATTCTGAGGGCAAGAATATAATTTGGGCGTAACGTTTACCGTTGTGTAGGGAGGTTAATATAGAACCCTGGATTTCGCTCGGTAATGAATCACTAAGGAGATGGCATTCTATTTTACACAGACGCTCTTCGCCCCCCGGCTTCAAAGCTCCAGACGACCAAAGAAAACCAGAACGAGTTGATCAAAAGAAAACCGATCGCGTAAGTTATATTACTATATTTGCTTCTGATTTTCGAACTTACTCAAGCACAGGCCGCTGATACGGTTTTGAGCGCTGCATGCCCCTCACCTAAGGGATTTACTTAGGTTGGGTAAGTTCCCTGTACTTGAAAACTCGTGTAAGTAGAGTTTATGGTTGGCTCTCTCTTGTCCTTCGAGGGTTTTCCTCCGTCACTGACTAACACTTAGCCTGCGAGGCAGAAACTAACCCTTGCTGAGGTTTTCCGTCTATCTCAGTGGTAAACGCATTAAACTAAACTAAACGTTAAGCAAAATTACTTGGCCTTGTATCTAATCTTGAGTGGAATCTTCCTTACAGCTTTCAAGATCAGGTCATGTTTTGAAAGGACGCGGCAGAATGGTGAGAAATTATAGAATATTTTATTGCTTATGAACCAAAGGCTATACAATATAACTCGTACTTCTTACCTACTTTATTTTTCACCCTGCTCGGTTTCCTTTGTTCTTATTGGGGAATATATTCAATATTCCCCTCTAATCAATTTCCGTTTACTGTCGTTCCAATTGAAGTGTTGCTCAAATATTGATTCAATACATTACCTCGTGCTGACCAATTCATTTGATCAAGTTCCTCGAGATATTCATACACTTCCTGTGAAAGAGCCAATTCCAAGTATTTGATCATTTCTGGTCACTTCCTTTCTATTTATGATTGGTTAGTTGCACAAACAACAAAGGTGATTGGTGCATTCAAACTATTCAACAGGAAGTTTACAATTATACTAGGAAGTGTATGAATATCTCGAGGAACTTGATGAAATGAATTGGTCAGCCCGAGGTAATGTATTGAATCAATATTTGAGCAACACTTCAATTGGAACGACAGTAATAATCCCCTCTAATATTCACCTCGGGGATATGTGTTTATTCACCTTGGTGCTGCGCGCCTCGGTGAATAAATCACATATCCCGTCGTTGCCTCGAAATAACCTATACTTAATTTCTTTTAATAATTGCTTGCAAGCTTAGCGCTAACACATTATTCTTGGCACTGTGTGCAATTACTCATACCCTGATTTTCTGGATATTATTGCGAAGCTCAGGGAGGTCCATTAAGCAACTGATTGTGACGCATAGTACCAGATTACAGTATAACACATGAGATATATGATAATAATGAATATGATAAAAATCACATACTTCGCAGTATTTCCTGCACTCTTATTTTTTGGTCTTTGGTTAGGCATAACATTTAGCATATAAACCCATATTTCTCCTCCGATTTGTACGAAAGTGCAGTTTGGAGACCAACGGAGGAGGGGCAAGTTCACATGCAGGCTTAGTGGAGGGGCAAGTTCACATGCAGGCTTAGTGGAGGGGCAAGTTCACATGCAGGCTTAGTGGAGGGGCATGCAAGTTCACACCCACCACTTGGGTAGTAACTCCAGACTTGATCTTACTTTATAAACCATCTAGTCTATTCATCACAATCTATAAAACAATATGATCCACATCTTATAGATGTATCGCACTCCACCGAGATCTCCATCGAGATCTCCATCGCCAAGTGAACGTAGAACGTCATCAAGCAGACGTCGATCACCGCGTAGATCATACAAAAGATCAAGAAGTCCAGAATACAGAAAACCCAGGCGAAATAATGATAGGCGTGATCGTTGGTCTCGAAGTCGTTCAAGAAGCAGGTCTCTGTCGGACAGACGTAAGGATGAAAGAGCGGAGGAAAGGACTCGAAATCGGGCTGAAAGATCACCACAGCGGAGGTCTGATGATAAAAATGATGTCCCAAGTAGGTGGGATGATCAAGCTGAGGATCTTAAAGAATATTCTCGTGTTGCAAGTCGTTGGGAGAATTCATCGCAAAATAGAAGTAAATCGTCGGAGTTACCAGAAACCAATCGATGGGACCATCAATCATCACTGCATCGATCAAGAAATTCAGATGAAGAAAAGGGAATTGATCGTGTACGTGAATACGATAAAAGTCCTGATCGGGATATGGATACAAACGGTAATGCCAGAAAGCATAGAGAGAGAAAACGATCGAGTTCATCAGAAGATTCAGATAAAAACAACAAACATGAACGTGTTTCAAGCAAGACTGATACTCGCAGAAAACGGTCAACATCCAGTGAAGAAAGTAGTGATAGTGATTCAAGGAAAAGACGAATGAATAGAGAACGGGACAAGAGAAGTCATAGTAAGGAGAAAAGACACTGGTCGCTTAAAACGTTGGTCGCTTTATCAACTAGCTAACGGATACTGTATGGTAACAATAACTAGTATATCTTGCAGTCATCAAGTAACATTAAATTCATTCAAGATCCATGCGAGTCACTCGCGAGTGTTTCGGGTACTCCTTAAACGCGCTACTCACAAACCTTGAAAATGAGAGATACAACCACTAGAGAATGTAGATAAAGATTTTTAGACAGTACATGCATGTACCTTCCAAAGAGAAGTGAAATTTCATATTCCCGAGTTTCTTAGAAACACGTTTTGAAAAACTGCTTCAAGAAAACAAGAAATCTGTCTTGTGCATGCAGTTTAATAAATTATCGTATTTGAATGACTCTGAAATTTATACTTCTTATGTACACTATATAGTTTTTACACTTGTTCATGTGAAATGTTGTCTTCAATTAATTTAAAAACGTTTTCCTCTTCTTTCTATACGAATTCCATGGGGAATAACTCAACATATTAAGACTGGCCTGATTATATCAAATACACGCCGAGAATACTCACGTTTCCAGACCGTTTCCTTCTTATTTACTATATTTTGTTCTGTATTAACATGGCGGTTACCAAATTATGGGAAAATAGTGTATTAATGTATTAACATGAAGTGGATCGCATGAAAAAGGCATTGTCACAGTTATTGCAGTTTATCAGAAAAACCCCAAGAAAACTAAATTTTACCACCGCATTTCTTCGTAATTTGGTAACCGATGCAGTAATACAGAACAAAATAATTAATGATAACAGAGTGCAACAACAGAATTGTGCAGGTTTTAGGTTTTTAACTGTAAGGATACTAGTTCAGACGTGTCAGATGGCATTTAACACTTCTGACAAAAGAGTATTTTACTATTTCTTTCTTATCTGCTTTTCATCACTGTCTTCGTGTTCCAAGGATGATTGTTTTTCTCTCACAGGTGCTGATGTAAAACCATCTTGTTTCCACACAAGATTATAATTATCTTCCATTGCCTCCTGTCTCCTTTTCTCTTCCGCTAATTGGCGAGTACCACCCTGTAAGCAAATGAAACTCAGAAATTTAGCCAAACTTTTCACATACCGAATCTTATGAGCTAAACTCTTTGTTTGAGTTCATTTGCATTAGTTTCGGCAAAGGCCTTAAGGTCCATACAGACCGGACGCGATTTGGCAACGCGACGTGAATTTTCAATTACATTTAAGTTCAATATTTTTCTATGTTTTTCAAATATTCGGAACCTCTTAAGCGATTGTAGCTATTTGGTCTGCATATCTTGTAAAATTTTTATCCGTTGACGGTTTTATTTGTTTTTAAAAACTGAAAATTCGCGTCGCGTTGTCGAATGGCGTCCGGTCTGTGTGGGCCTTTATGCCCAGTTCAACGTCGCGTTTTCTAATGTGCTGAATTTATTGTAAAGACCTAAACTCTTTGTTTTGTCATTTGCATCGGGTTCGGCAAACGAAACAGGCCTTATACTTCTTAGTCTTATTACATTAGTAAGTGGAACTACTCCAAAAATAGTTTTCATTATGACAATAAATGGCAATGTATTTTATATGGAATAATTTGCTATCTGTGCATTATGTGCAAATAGACTGCTGATATTTTTGTCTCGCATGTTAAGGCGATTAATCAGTTTTGCATTGCGCACTTTTACTGCGCATATCTAATAACAAATTCTAGCTAACATTTGAAGTCGAACTGCAATGTGAAGTGATAAAGAAAGAGTAAGGGCAAAGAGAAAAACACTCTGCATTGATTAGGCTACTCAGGCTAGGTCTCCTGTGCAACTCTAAACCACGTCATGTTGCATGTTTAACCCTTTACGAAGGTCCGTGACCATACTTTTTATTTTACATTTAAAGAGAAAAATCATTTCTGCAACTTATAATGTTTTACATTTTTCGCGCATGCTTCCCAAAATAACATGACTGAGAAGATGAGAAAAGACAATGCACCATGACAATGCACATCAATGGTTTTTTCGCTAAAACACATGTTTTCTTGCATATAATCACTAAGTAAACATTTTTAGTAGGATCCTTGTCGAAAAAATTTAATTACGGTTGAGCAATTGCGATTGTCCCTCTTAAGATGGCGCCATATGGGGGAAAAGGTGACATATTGCACTTGTCATATGTTCGAAACGAGTTCGGTGACCCCAACATTTTTCTGTTTTGACTATGAGCATATCATAAACTTCACCCCTGAGAAGTTTCAGTAAATTCTCATTTCCAGCAATTACTGATGAATCACCTTCAGCCGGTTACAGACGAGCTATATGCAAATATTCACAGCATGTAGACAGCTCTTACCAACAAGTTGGAAAGCAAATCTCTAAATTTTACTTGCGATGTAAAAATCTGAAATTTTTCTTCTCCATCCGCAACACGTTGCAATGATTCCTGTGATGTGACGATTTTAACTTTAATCTTTCCTAGAAATCAATAATTAATTTAAACAGGATAAAAACAGGTAGCCTGCAATGCAGGCGCTCTCCGGGCTTATCCAGGGTACTTGATAGTGAAGTACTTGTTGTGGGAATGGGTGAGAAAGGGGACTGTACATCTGTACGTTTGTAAGAAAGTTTAAAAGTGTTAGACCAAATGTTAACAAATCCACTTGATGAGTAAATCGACAGGCGTTTTGACAAAGCCGGTAAAATAAAGTACGGCGCAATGCAACTTAATGGATTAAATGTTGTATAATGATTCATCCAACCTCACCAAACAATTGCCACCAGAAGGTTACTTCCTTTAGTATCTTATACGCAAAGTACTCTAGGACAGGGTTGATGAACGCGCTGCAGTGAAATCTGAGAAAACGAAAATTAAACCTTACAAACCTTCGTGATGGACCCCAGCATCCTGGAGCTGTTTGCGCACCATCCTTTCCATCTTTTTTGTTGCTTCTCTCATTTCTTCATTTTCACTTATCTCATTCAACTGATTCTCATCATTATCTTCTATGAATGATTTCTCAAAGTCTTTATCATCATAGAGATCTTCAGACTTCTTTTTGATCTTAGTCACTCGAACATTGATACGATCATCTCCATCCGTATCTCCATCATCATTCTCGCGGGTCATGATTTTCTTCAACTTTGAAACTACTTTATCTAGGTTCGGTTTTTCCATATCAAAACCTTGGGTTTTCTTGTCAGGTTCAAAAATTTCCTCTGATGGTTTGTAAGGTTGGCGCTTTCTTTCTCCACTCTCGTCAATATTATCATCATGATTATCATCATTATTAGGTTCTAATGGTTCAGATTTTGAGTTCGCTTTATCGATCAAGCCAACCAATGTTGCTCTGATACTAGCAAGTTCTTCTTTCGCTTTTATATAATCTGAATCTTCCATAACTGCATCGTACAGATCAGCAAGTCGTTTCATCGCATCCTCTGCAACTCTATATAATGATATAGCAAAAAACAACTGCTTACTTGATATTTAATAGATTATATATATATATAACCGTGACCCAAAAATGTATACCCCAACGCCCCGAGGGCGGAACACTCCTATCTGGGAATATAGACCATTTACAGAATTACTGGCGCCTGCCATCATACATACATTTCTTTTGAATTTTAAGTCTGGTTTACACTATCAAAGTTTCTGTGACCACAGTAGCAATTTTGCATAAGTAAACTCTAAGTTTTGAAGGATTTTTAAGAAATGTTTGAGGGAACTGACTTAATGTCAAACACGATTCGTAATCGTTTTATTGACAACCAATTTTGCAGTTAAAACTGACTTACACTGGTTTTACAACTGTAAGATACTATAACTAAGAATATGTAGTAACATATGATTTAAGAATATTAAAAGTAGAAGTTACAATGGTTACAACTATAAAAAACTGTAACTAGAGTGATGTAATAACATACGATTTAAGAATATTAAAAGTTGAGAGTTAAAAATGTTTCATGTCATATAATGATGCTACAGACGGTATAAAACTTTTATGGTAGTAGCGATCAGTTCTACAAACTGGAACCTTAAAACACCTATTATGGCGTAGATTGTGTTCGTTAATCTTAAGAGCTGGAACGAACGAGTTTAATTTGTGCCCTGGATCAAGCATTCTGTCGAAAAGACGCTCGCAAAGGGTGCTTCGGCGATCGTACAACGATGGAACGTTGGCTGTGAGCATCGCTTGACTATAGGTGAAGGAAGGATAGATAATTCGGAGAGCTCTTTTCTGGATCTGTTCTATTCGGTTATTAAGGTATACAGGGAGGTTGTAGTGCCACGCTTCGCATGCATACTCAAGGATAGGTCTAACGCTCGCGCGAAAAACCTTGACTAGGACGGAGTCCGGAAGGGCGTTTCTTTTCAACAGTCGTGGGGCGTATAAACGCTTGGAAGCCTTCTTACAGATGGCATTTACGTGCAAGTTCCATTTCAAGTCATTCGAGATGGTAACGCCTAGCTTGGCATGCGTAACGATGTTGACTGTTTGATTGTTGATCACAATTGGTGGATAAGAGGGAGAACTGGACGAGAAGTTCACGCGCATCTCTTTCGTCTTCGAAGCGTTCAACTTTATGTTACTATCACATGTCCACTCTTCGCACACTTTCACGGCTGAGGAGAGATTGGATTGGGAGTCTCTGTGCAGAACTTACCACGTTGTAGAATCGTCAACGAATTTGACAAGGACTGGAGCCGGTTTTAGATCATTTACCATGATTAAAAAAAGTAAGGGACCTAGTTTTGTTCCCTGTGGAACGCCAGCTTGAATATACTTCCAAGCAGAGTAGTCCTGACCAATCTTTGTCCTCTGTAATCTGTTAGACAAGAAATCGGCAATCCAATTAATGAGAACTGGGTGTACGACCATTTGTTGAAGCTTTCTCAGTAAGACGTTATGATCGATCCGATCAAAGGCTTTTGAAAAGTCTAACAGGCAGATCCGTAATGATGAATCAAGGTCATCGCATGCTTCGTACCACTTATGGAGGAGGTGGACGAGAGCCATGCTTGTGCTTGAGCCTCGTAGAGCGCCAAACTGAAGAGGGTCGATCTTCCCAAGGATTGATTGGAAAAGCCAGCGGTAAGGAAACGACTCCAGAATTTTGCTAACAATGGCCGTGAGGGAGATGGAACGAAAGTCTGAGTCGATGTCTTGAGCGGGAGAAGATTTGGGTACTGGTGAAACGTTAGCTGATTTCCACAAGGAAGGGACAAAGCCTTGACGGAGGGACAGATTGAAAATGGAGGTTAGTGGACGACACAAAGTGGATGCGTTCTCACCAAGCCGAAACCACGCCGACATTTCGTCGGGACCAGCAGCGGAGTGGAGTTTAGTTGAAAGTGATGCTGCTTCGGTATCTTCAACGGATATAATGAGACAGTTCCCTCAAAATTTCTCAGACAATTCCCTCAAAATTTCTCACAAATCCTTCAAGACAAAACATAGAATTTACCGATGCAAAATTCCTACTGTGATCACAGAAACTTTGATAGTGTAAACCAGACCTTACGTTCTGTCTGTTTTCAAAAGAATGATTTCGAAGCTATGCATGTATAATGCTTCGCCGCTCCAGGAATTCTGCAAATGGTTTATATCCAGTGCAACAAATTTGAGATATTTTCGAGTAGTATCGGGTGCTGACATAACTTTTTATTCTGGTAGATTCTTCCTAGTTAAAACTGCGTATCGACTTGTGAAAGGTCTTACTAAATTAAAAATGAAATCTTTTCTCTCCTTCTGAAATAAGGCATATGTGCAATATGTTTGATCTCTATTATTATATGTTTAAACCAACGAAAGATATGTACATACAAATATACATAGAGGATATTACACGGCGGCGCGAAGATACGACTTTTATCTTCGAGTGGTGAAAACAATATTTTACGAACGAGCGCAGTGAGTAAGTAAAATATTGTTTTTAACACGAGAAGATAAAAGTCATATCTTCAAGCTACCGTGTAATGTTCTGTTTATTATATAGTCCCAAGCAAAAAATTGTGAAATTTCACGCTCAAAAGCAAATTGGAAAAAGTCACGTGATCGATATCTTTACTAGTAAAGATATGATAAATATCTCACTGTGTATTTTTCAGTATCTCACTCTCTACTATATAATAAATTCGATTATCTGATTACAGACACCGCTGTATTAAATATAAAAGGAATATAATGGCATGACGTTTGGGAACTTAAATAAGTATCTGTTGATTAGAAGTATCCGGAGTACGTATCTGTTAGATTGTATTTAGAAGTAAAAAAAAACCTCAGTTTGGGAAAAGGCGGTACCTCTGCTTATTTTCAAAATATTTCAGGGACTTCTTTGTAGTGTCAATCAATGCCTTGACATCTGGATTTACGGAACCTTCTGATATTTTGATTCTTTTCTTCAAATCATTTATGATGGAATCAAGCTGCTTCTTAAAATAACGGAATTGTAACTTCAGATGTTCGATTAACTCTTGGTAATAATCACTTTGATCACCTTTCTTGTCTTTCTTACTATTAGAGAAACTATTGATCTTTTCGAACAAAGTCGATGATCCTTCAATATCTGTATTATCATCATCCGTAGTATCCACATCCCACCCTATATTATCATCTACATCTTCTCCTACTTGTTCATCATATGTGTCCGCGTCATCTATAGTCATTTTCATCCCATTCCCTTTTGCTTTTAATATTTTGTTTCTTGTTTCCTCATAAATATCATCACCTTCCTCGTCACCTTCCTCGTCACCTTCATCGTCATCATCGTCTCCGTCATCATCACTATCTTCATTATCAGATACTTCTTCAGAATGTGCTTCTTCTTCATCTAAACGAAACATTCACAAGGAGTTAAAATAATAACATAATTATCCCCCAAGCCGTCTTAAAAAGTAACATATGAGAAACTATGTATGAAATAGTATGAGAAACAGTCTTTTATGAGAAACATGCAGTCATCTGCTATTATTTTATGAGAAACAGGAGGAAAATCAAAGTGGAAGGAAGGTAGGAAAAAGTAGGATGGCAAGAAAGTCTGACGTAAGTGAATAAATCGTTGATTTCTGTGTGACAGCAAACGTACAAGATGCCTTCATTCGACGTATATGTTTTCTTTTGCATTTCTGAAAATTGCCAGCACCAGCACAAAGATTTCAACATTCATACCGACACAATGCCTTACATATAGTTACCCCCTACATTCATTAATCTACAGTAGCCTATATACCATATATATCTTATATAGACTAGATAGCGCATCTCTTTTAGTAAAATTGAAGCCAAGAATATTCCAGCGGTTACCCCCATTTGAATAGATGGCGGCCATGTTGGTGTTTCCCACTCGCTAATATACGCTTAAAAACAACAATAACTTTCATCATTTGAATAGTTTAAAAATGTATTTGGAATAGGTTTACCTTAATATTTAAATTCCGTGTTTATGAAATAGAAAACAGACGAATCTTCTCATTTCATGGGAATATCCTGAGTCTGCAATCACGGCTTCAATTTTTGAATTGTAGAATAATTAGATGCACTATCTAGTGTATATAAGATATCTATGGTATATACATACTGTCATCCAGTGGATTATCTCCTCGCTTCAACTTCTCAATCTGTTTCATAGATTTAGCAATGATTTCTTTCATCATGTTCATCGTCTTTTCCTCTTTTGTTTTTAGTTCATGACCATGTTCAGTTTCTTTGATATTTTCTTTATGATACATCTTAGCCAAGGCATCTGCGATATTTGGAAAACGTCCGTTGTTGCTGTGTTTATCTTTCTCGTCACTGTCAGATACAGGCTGGTCATCCTCTATTGTTTTTCCTAAACGGTAAAACATCAAGATAATTTACAAGTACAAGTCAAATTATAGTTGCAACTATATATGCATTCAACTGAATCCCGATATACGTAACTCTTCATCTGTATTGTTTCTTTTTTCGCACTATATATAATCTCAATAACTTATTTCTTTCAAATACGTCACGTGATGCTTTTTTTGTAAAATCTGTATTTAATATACAGTAACATAACATGAGGTAGCCCAAATTCCTATAAGCCTCTTGGTTTCTATTTGGGCTTCCTCACCACTTTTTGTTCAAAATTATTGTTTTTTCTATCAACTTATATATATTTATAATAACACTTTATTATTATACATTTACTTATATATATTGACTGTTACTTATTTGTATTGTGGTAAACCCAGGCGGAAACCAAATCAATAAATCATTCAATAAATCATTCAACTATAATATTAGACTGATTTAGAAAACACGCGACGCGAACTGAAAGACGCGCCTTCCAAAAAAGTTTGAAAATCAAAACACAATGTTAAACTAAGATTTTCACGTCATTGGAGCAACATGAATGCTTGTTGCGACGTTGGAGAAATAAAATCTTCCTCGTAGCAGACACCGGACCGTATTTCCCGAACTTAGACGTTTGTATAAGGTTATTTTAAAAAGCTTCAATTTATTACAATAATGAAATTCCTTAGCTCTCAATCTTGAGCTGAAATTGAGACCGTGTCGTCAAATTTGTTGGAGCACTTTCAAGCCCGGGCCGCAGTGGCGCCGGCAAGGGGGGGCGAGGGGGGGCAGCCGCCCCCCCAATATTCTCCAGAGTGGGTTTTTGGATTTGTCCAAATCCGATGTCGTAGGGGGGGGGGGTGCGGTGTGTAAATATTTGGTTGTCAAGTGCACGGTTGCGTGTAATGGCCAAGGAAACGAAAGAACGAAAGCCGTCTTTGGTTGATTTATACCGCGAACTTCTTCAAGAACCCGAATGCTTCCCCAATTTGTCAAAAATTATTAAGATTGCCCTTACTCTCCCTTTGACATCAGCATCTGCTGAGAGATCATTTTCCAAGCTGAAAATAATAAAAAATCGCCTGAGGTCGACGATGAGGCAAGATCGATTAGAATCGCTGATGCTCATGTCCGTGGAATCTGACATTTGTCGGGGCCTCGACATCGAAGGACTCGTTGAACGATTTACCGACGCAGCTCCCCGTCGTTGTACTAAATATGTATTATAACATTAAATTCTTCATTTCATTCTTGGTTTTATTAAAAATACATTTGATTCATATATTGTATGGAAATCAATTATGTTCCGATCTACTAAAAAAGTGATTTATTAAAACCTTTATGTTTGTCTTAAAGTGCCTCCAAGACGCAGGAAATGCGGTTTTAGACACCCAAAATTCAAAATTTTCTCGGGGGGGCATACCCCCGAACCCCCCTAGTAAGCTCGTGCCTTTGGCACTCGAATGATTTGCCCCCCAAAAAATAAATCCTGCCGGCGCCACTGGCCCGGGGTTGAACTGGTTAGCACTAGTTTCCATCTGTGAAATTGACGTAACGTCATTTTCAGAAGATGGAAGAGGTGTTAAATGGCTATGTAACTAGCCCAAACCCTACCCCTACTCTAACCCCTAACCCTAACCGCAACCTTAACACTAAGCCTAATCAAATTAATAAAAAAATCCAGAAAGAAACAACTTTAGAAATTGATCAAATTACGCAATGTCATGAGTTTGGTAGATGGAAACAAGTGAAAACCGGTTGAACTCAGCCCTGTTGACCGGGTTGAATTTTTTTTGCGATTACCTGGACGATTTCAAACCCGGGGTTGCAATGCTATACTATACATTTCCGGCATTGATTCCCGGAAGTAAAAAAAAAAGCGGCTCCATGCATATAGCCTCCATTTTGTTTTCTTGTAACTCATTAGTTAGTACCACGCATGCTCGAATAACTCATGAATAATTTCAGGCCTGGGTTAAATTGGGTTGAAACGATTACATGACAAAATTTTCAACCCAGGGCTAGCTCAAGCATGAGGGTTGGAATTACAACCCCGGTGTTGAACTCGGCCCTGGGTTGAAAATTTTGTCATCTAATCGCGCGTTTGATTTTGATAGAGTTTTGTATTACAGACAGGGCTGAAGTTTCGACCCGGTGACACCGGCAACAGGGCTGAGTTCAAACCCAGGGTTGAAAATGCTCCATGTAATCGGCCCCTAAATCTGTCTATTGTCTTATTGCTTAAGTAAACTTATTTCATGAATAATTAATGAGACTATAAGTCAATCACGCCAGGCTATTTATTAGGTCACTGATTTCGTATTCGAATTGCGTTTCGAAATCGTTCGGAAACCGGCCCGCTTGACTATAACGCAAAATAGAACGTAACTCGTACAGTGTATAGGAACGCAATTGAAACACAATTAATAACGCGTTTCGGATGCTGAGCGTATGTTACTGACAATTGTTCTAGTCAGGTTAAGAAATTTTATTTGTCTGCGACCGAGGGAAACAGTATGTTTTGTGAACCTGAGACTGCCAATGTTTCCCGAAGCGGAAAAACAAAAAGAAACTGGAAAATTAAATTAACCATAATTTTCGCTTTATAACTACACGAATTTATCAGTGAATTTAATAGTGTCTACCGCCAAGAGCTGTTTCCAGAAGACAGTCGAATTTATATGCTCTTTTCCAATGAGAAGCAAGAAAACATGAACTTTAACACTTGGTATATAAATAAATATAATAAATAAATTTCTTTACAAATTCGGCCACAATCACCCTGATATAAGCTCAATAGGCTTCGTATAATCGGCTCAATATAAGCTTCGTATAAAACGTTCTATAGAACACTGATTGTCGTAGGTTCCCAGCACAACGCCGCCAATTCATTCAACTGTAAATATACTTCATGTAATATATCAATATTGTGATCGACGTAATTCAAACTAAATCGTAAATAAGTCTTTGTACGTGTAAATTGATACGTTACAGTGAAACATTGTAATTTGGTAGGGTAATCAAATAGCTAGGGAGTGATTGAATGTCATTGTTGCTGTCAGATCGTAGCGAGACAATCGGAATGTTTAACAGTCTAAAACCCACGTTCTAAATACTTTCTCACATAATACAATCAATACAATCATAAAATACAGTCCCTTGAGCGTTTATTGAATGAACCAGACGGTGGAATCACAAGTTCCACAACACTGATCTATAAGAGTAGTAGTGAACGTCTTGCGCTACGATTTCCAGCTATCATAGTTGGAAACGTAAAACAACATGAATGGGGGGAGGGGGGAGGAAGTGATATACAAGAAGAAAAACCTCCGTCGTTCTACCATTATTAGCCAAGATTGTAGATTTGTAGTAAAAGTATATACCTGACTTCCTATTCTGAGCCTCTGTGTATTTCTTGTATTGATCCTCCTTTAGAGCGGGTGAACACGTGATACTGTGTTTCTTAGGCTTGGCTGGAGGTCGAAATAAGGAGTGGTTGCATAGTTTGTGCGTGTGTATGTTGATGACGTAATTACAGGTGGAGCTTTCGTCAATTCTTGATATCAAATCAGTAGTTTGTGAACCACAGAAAAACTAAAAAAAAGTAAAATTACTAAAATCACATTCGGGAAACTTTTTATATTGATTTTAAGCTATAGAATGTTTTTCACTATCCACCTCCGTTAACGTGCGTAACATGCATAGGGTATTAATTAGATCACTTCATTGGTAACTCAATCAGTCACCTTGGAAAGAAAATTCACGACAAACCTAATAGTGGACAGATAAACCATATAGTGGGCAGAAAATTTTCAAAACGCCGTAACTCGCGTTCTGAATGTCCAAACATATTTGATGGCCCCCATTAGTTATTCACCGGCAAATTGAGGCTACTGATGATAAATTCTTATCTAGGCAATATTTGTCCTTTCCCACTAGCCAATATGGCCGCCATTGGCTTCACTTATGCACAGCAGATGCTTTATCCAGTCTTATTTCAGATCAGTGGTGCGAACACATCCTATGATAACAAGCTTTTGAAACGGCATTGGTAATGTACAATTCTGCAGCAGGTTTGTCACAAGTTGCGCGTTGCGTATTTAACAAATATAAAACATTTTCCGTATTGATATACAGTTATATCAACACGAGTGGAAATTGGGAAAACGAGAGTTTTCCCAATTTCCACGAGTGTTGATATAACTGTATATCAATACGGAAAAAGTTTTATATTTGTTTTATAATATAACGCAAATAAATATAAAGAAATTTTCCGTGTTGACATTATATGGCTCTTACATATATATACTGCTCTTAGCCAATCAGCGTTCAGAATTACAAATTCTATATTATAAATAGATCTACAGTATTAATAATCTATTAATTAGTAAATTACCCTGATTTCAGTTGTCCGTGGCTCTCCAGTCAGATCACAGACTGTTCCATTATTATAAAATTGACTGTGATACCTGTTGTCGCCTCTTGTTTCTTCCTAAATTGAATGAGGGACATTATGATACATTCAATGTTAAAACAAAACTGAAAGTCAAAAAATGAAATTATATCTGTAACTCCTCGTTTAGGAAATAAGTCGTTATACCTTTATAGTAACATTTGACCAATCAGTATTTCCAGAAAAATGACCAAGGCTAATGTTATCCTTCACTTGATGTCCTATAGTAACGCATTTTTTCATTGATTAGAGAGTCCAGATTAGGATTTATTTTAATCAATAGACAATTCCATTATAGACTAATTTTAAAACTAGGCAACGAGATGCAAGTAAATCACCACAGCTAGAAAGAGCATACTAAAATGAGTAAAATTGCAAAGTTTGGTTGCGAAATGTTGTAAACTGCGCAAAATATAGCCTTGCAAAGTTCGCAAATTTTGTATACTTTTGTATTGCGTGCGGAAATTGCTACCACATTTGGGCCGAAAATGATAGCTTGCAAGTAGTTTGCAAGCCTATATTTTGCGCATTTTACAACATTTCGCAACCAAACTTTGCAATTTTACTCATTTTAGTATGCTCTTTCTAGCTGTGGTGATTTATTTTCATCTCGTTGCCTAGTTTTAAAATTAGTCTATAATGGGAATTGTCTATCGATAAAGGTGATTTACGTTACCTTCGTCATGATATTGAAAAATGGATCTTCCGATACAAACTCTGTATGACCACCAACCATTTAACTAAATATTATGAAATAGTATAAACATAACTGAAGAGATTTGAAAACGGTAGGGATGTGCCAGATACTGTTTTGCCACATACTGCATGGATAGTACCGGATAGTAGTCTTAGACTACCAGATACCGGTCAGCAGAAAATGATAACCGGTTACAGGATAATAACTGGATACCGGATAACAACCAGATCAAACTCCCATACAATAATTTATTATTATTAACACAACATTTTATAACTTAATTAACTAGTCCAATGTGGCAATGTATTTAATACAATAACTTCAAGAGCTTTTGTCTCTTTGACCTCTGTCTTTGACCTATTTGTCTTTACCAAAGCCATATCTTATAATTCACGTTACACTGTTTACTGGTATTCAGTATATATCACCACTCACGAAAAACATATGTCGTAATTTCGCCGTAATGCAGTGAACGCTCAGTAATAATTGTTCATGTTTCACAATTTTTAATCGCCCAGTAAACGTTTCCATTTCATGGTTGTAACAAAATATTTTACAGTACTATCCGGTAAATATCTGGCAAGTTTTAACCGGAAGTGCCGGATGTCTAATTTTTACCGGATACCAGACACTGGTATCCGGATCCAGCACATCCCTAGACTAGTAAACGGGTAACAGTGAGAGCTGGGATTTGAATGGGATTTGCAACTGAAATGTGCTGCCGGGATTTTGCGTGGGAAAACAGGATTAAACCCCTGTCCTCCCTGAGCTCTAAATAGTAAAAATCTGTAAAGGGGGGCTAGTGGAAGTTTAAATAAATTCTTCTATAGGGTCGCCACCAAATACTAATATGAACGGGCTTTGTGATTGGTTGATCATAACAATAAAAGACAATGAACTATACAAATTAAGAATGAGTCATAAACATCTTGCCCAAAGGGCAAAGGCCAAAAAAATCTGCCTCATACCCCGAAATTTAATTCTCAACTCATCAGTAATTTATGACCAAAAACAAAATAAATAGTGGTTTACGCAATATTTGTACATATAGATATATAGTTTATTGTTAATATTATATCTTAAACACTGCATGTTCCTTTGTACTTTGTAGCCAGAGTCAATATAATTGTTTTTGAAACCGCAAGTCTTGTGTGAGTACTGAATAGCGTGTTGTGTCTTTTTTACCGTAGTTTCGATTTTCGAACGTATTTTTTAAAAACCCGGTTCACTCGTTTTTTTCGGATTTATTTGGTCGGTTTTCGCCAGTTTTTTTTGTAGAAACCGCTTCACGCTAGTGAGTACAAGGACTTTGAAAGCCTGCAAAAGTCCTGTGTCTCATATTTGAACCAACTTCAAAAACATTATATTTTTAAAACATTTAAACATTGATAAGTTCTCCGCCAGGAATACAAGTTTGTCAACTTTCTCCAGTTTAAGTTGTGTTCGTCCCTGCATGCTAACTTGTCTCTCCAACGGCGAACTGCTTGGATGGCAGAGACGGATTTTCATTTTTTCGTTCGGGGGGGGATAAATATCTGGGGAGGGGGGTGCTGCTACTTGCTTTGGCCGGGGCGTGGTGGCAACGCCCGGAAAGGCCAAGGAAAAAGTTTAACAAAATTTGTTTTCTAGGCCTGCATGGCAAGATCTGAGACCATAATATTGGTAATTTTACAAATTTAGTAGTAAGAATAATCAAATATGAAACTGATATTTGTGGTGTTACTCTGAGTGTACATCCACACCGGGCGAGCCTGAAAAATATGCAGAGTAACACCACAAATATCATATTCACCTGAGTACACTACACCAACACAGAAAAAAAAAATATATGAAACTATCAAATCAAAATATATATAATTTGCGGGGGTGCAAAAACTTTTGGGGGCGGTGCCAAATGCCTCTGGGGGGTGCAAATCAATTCTGGGGGATGCACACCACCCAACCCCCCAGAAAATCTGTGCCTGTTGGATGGTAAGATACCTTCTGGATAACTGGCAGAGCAACGGTAGTTCCTTTGCATCTAATTTCCACCATTGAAGTGGATCGTCATCTCCGTCAATCACTGGGAATGCTGAGATGTAGCGGTCAATCTCTTTGGATAGACGGCTACGCGGGGATGCAGCGGGCGATGACGATGTTTTTTCAGATTTCTTGAGTAGTTGAGGCTCGTCAACGCTCCAAGACTCAGTTTGGCTTTCTTCGCAACACAGGCAGGACATCTTCATCTTCAACAACAACGTGTAACTCCAGAAAAATGGCATTCAAGAGCTCTTCCTTTACTTCATCAAGTTGGGTTGTATTAAGTCGACGTCATCGTTGTACGTATCCACTGCTAAAAAGTCAGTCTTATGTCTTGGATCCAAGAAACACGTTATACATTCATCAAAAGCTTCAACGAATGTGTGACATAACAAGCTTTATCCGTTCAAGACTTCACGCTCGCGCGAAACTGTAGAATGGTATTTTAAATGTACCGTAAGGTATTTTGAAGACGTTATCAAATTTCAAACAAAATCACATTAGTTTTTCGTGTGTAAATTCCAAAACTTGATTCATTTGCAACAAATGCGTATAAGTATGGTTCGATTTTAGTAAAATATCAATTTTTCTTCGATTTTTTCCGTTTTCCCCCCAGGCCCCGGTTTTTTTGCAGTTTTTCTCAACAAATAACATTGAGTATTTCGCCTTTCAAAAAACATCGTTTTTTTCTCGGTTTACGGAAAAACCGCCTCACCCTAGGCCTAGTACTCACATTTCATGCACTCAAATGTTTTGAAATTCTGGTAAAGTCCTCTTTCTCGTATTTGAACTATTACTTGTTAGGGCACACCATAATATTACTAATGCCACTTTTATTCACAAACTGTTTTGTATCCTCACCTGGAATAGACAAGTATTATTCAATGGCTGCAATAATTTGTTAATTTCTTCTGCTGTCATATTAATTGCACTTGATTCTTTTGTTTCAAAGTGAACAATAGGGAGAACACATTGATACTGTTGACCATGTTTTGACGTAATCCGCATGATACTACCGTCTTTATCCTGAAATATGCAGTGTAAAAAGGTTGTGATAAAGTATCTTATTTTTTATTGAACACAGTAGCTGCAACGTTTATTCCATTTTTCCACAATGGTGAGGTGCCTTACAGTAATATTCACGGGAACCACACAGTCATTGTCTCTTTTTCTCGAATATTCATGAGAAACTCACAGTCTCTACAGGGCCATAGCTAGCATGTATAGTTGGGGGGAGGGGGGCAAAAATTTCTGAATGACGAAAAAATTCTGAATCTTTCATGGCATACGAAGCCACAAACTCAGGTATTTCCTATCCGGAAAATGAAGATGCAATAAATTATAAATATTAAAGCCGTTTTTTATTAGATGCATTTTCTGGTATAAAATAGGTAAAATTGTCATTTTGTCAATAAGATGATTAAAATATATATAAGCCACAATTTACAATAATATCCGCACTGATAAAAATTACCAGATTTGAAGTTTCTAAGGGTTTCTTGAGAGGACTGAGTCAATTATTGACCAAATACAAATAAAAGTATGCATATAATTTTACGCATAGACATATTATGGAAGTAATAAACCGAAAAACATTTACCGATTTACGATTTGTAAATTGTTATCCATGTAAATGCCATGATTTTGTACATCAGACAGTTTATACTGACAATACAATTAGGGTTATGTTTTCATGTCACACAATCACGAAACCTAATCCAATCCCTATCCCTAACCTCCTAACCAATCATATTTCGTGACTGTGTGACATGAAAATGTAACCACAATGGCGTAATTTTCCGAATGGCCAACCCGATTTTCTGAATATGTTAATTCTAAAAAAGTTGGGGGTTAATCCCTTCGCTATGGCCCTGTTGCACTTCTTATTCTAGGTTTTATTACGTACATTCCTATTCAAGAATAAACATTTCATATACTTTTATTAATAATGAATTTATGGTTTTAAAGATGATGTCCACTTGTGTGCGCATGTGCAAACTTTGTTTACGTTTTGAACTGCTATATTTGTAAAATATGATATAGTAACTGAATAACTAACACTTTTCTGATTTGCCATGCTTGTAAATGAATATAAACTCTACGTTTCAATTCAAAAAAGTTCGAAATATGCAAAATTTGGGCAATGTTTATATCTGGGGGTCCCCCTTTGTTATGAGCAGAACTGATGCGCAGAACGGAGTGGACATCATCTTTAATATTATCAAGTAGAACTGTTATATTGGTACTGTCTAGCTGCCTAGACAGTTATTAAATGACTAAAATGATTACAGTTATGGCAATGGAATTAAATATTCTATTAAGTGTGAGATGGACTTGATCTCATTGTCTGACTCGATCAGCTCAAATTCAGCTGCATCTTGACTCGACTCGAGCCACTGACTCCACTCAACTGGATCAGTCAATCAGACACTGAAATGACTCGACTCATGACTCTACCTCCAAGTATAAACTCAACTCCACTCATGACCCGGACTGGAAAGTTTGGAAATTGCATACAGATGCAAGATTTTAAAATTTTAATAATAATAAATATATAGAAAGCATCAAAATTGCGCGCCTGATATCTCGGTTGCGCGATACAAACTTTCCAAACTGGCTCATGACTCGACCTTGGGGTGATATAAACAATGTAACAAACTCTTGAAAGTTAATTATCTAATAGTATAAATAGTCACTCACTCTATTTATTTGACATAATCTTTAATTACCTGATTATTTAAAAGTACTGGCAGTGCAGAAATTTCTACACCATATTTTGATTTTTGTAGCTCTTCAATATTAAGAAATGTAGATTGAATTCTGAGAACAAAACATAATGTCACAAATAATATATAAACATTTGAGATAAGTATTTTCAATGCGTACGTAGCCATGTTGATTTTTAAATACAGTAAAAATTTTAGTTTGTTATTGTTGATGATTCATGATTACGACACTTCACGAGACAGCAGCGAAATGTTCCGATTCCGAATTAGAAATGGACCGTTTTCTCAATATTTCCTTTCGTTTGGTGGGACAAGCCGACAACTGACAAGCAAAAAGAAAACTTTAAAGATAGACAGTCCTTTTAAACCAGTGGAAAAGTATTTTTGAACATTTTTACAGCAATATTCGTGCCTTTTTACACCAGGTAGCGAAATGCCGGTAGATAAACTCCGAGGGTAAATTCAGCAATTTTATTCCCGCTAATTCCCGCTAAAACGGAAATCCCGCCATATAAATATCTGTGATAAAATATAAACTTTATCAGAATTTTGTGTTTATATAAAGTATCATATATCAGCATGAACCAAGAGGCGGCGGAAGCAGAAGGAATGCCGAATTCAAGACGTGGAAAATCTGATTTATCATTAATTCTCCCGACTTCAACATTAAATGATTTAGTGCACACATGGCTCTCAGAAGATCTACCCAGCTTTGATTATGGTGGAACTGTCGTTGGTGACCGCGAAGAAAAAGCAGTACTGCTCTGTAAGTCGCCTGGGGTGTTGGCTGGGTGTCCGTTCTTTGAAGCTGTATTCAAACACCTCAATTGCAAAGTAAAATGGTTAGTAAGCGAAGGAACCCAGCTAGTTCCTGTTTGCACTGTGGCTGAAGTGACTGGTAAAGTAAATAGACTTCTGATGGGTGAGAGAGTTGCTTTGAACTGTATTACCAGAGCTAGTGGTGTAGCAACTAAAGCCAAGAGGTTGGCCGAGCTGAAACAAATGGCATCATGGGCAGGTGAAGTAGCAGGCACACGGAAGACTACTCCAGGTTTCCGATTGGTTGAAAAGTACGCCTTACTTGTTGGTGGCATTTCAACTCATCGTTATGATCAATCCTCCTTGATTATGTTAAAGGATAATCACATCTGGAGTGTTGGTAGTGTAAGCTCCGCTGTCAAAGCAGCAAGAAAAACAGGAGGGTTTTCAATTAAAATTGAAGTGGAATGTAGAAATATTGCTGAAGCTAGAGAGGCAGCAAGATCTGGTGCTGATATCATTATGTTGGATAATTTCACATCTGAAGCTCTGCATAGTACTGCAAGGGTATTGAAAGAAGAATTTCCTCATCTCACTCTTGAAGCAAGTGGTGGAATTAATGAAGGGAATATTACTAATTATTTTGGCCCCCATATTGATGTTGTATCACTGGGCTCCCTCACACAGGGTTATGAATGTGTTGATTTCTCTTTAAAAATCCAAAAGGAAGGACGAGATCCAAAGAATCCAGCAGTGAAAGAGGACCTCCTTGAACTAAATATTTAAATTAGTCAAAGTTGAAAGTAAAACAAATAAAATTGCTTATATGTTCTTATCAATTAAATACCAAAGTTTTTGCTATTTCTCCTATTATTCTTTAAAGCAATAGACTTAAGTCAGGCAGGGATGCAAGGGAATGTGCATTATTAATCAATTATTAATGTGCATCATTTTACTCTGTCTAGCACCAGACAATTTTTCTCATCAAGGAGAGAGCACTGGCACTCAATGGGTTAATCAGATGATCTGCCCATGTGTCTATAAGTTAACCCATTAAGTTGCATTGCACATCAATGCACCCTACTTTATTATTTTACTCTATCTAACGCCAGATGATTTTACTTGTCGTGAGGGAGAGCGCTAGCACTCCCCGAGTTAAGCATACCATGGCACATTTTTTACTGCCACCAAGGGGGTTACGACCGTTTATGTTTTCACCTCGATTTGTTTGTATCTGTGTATCAACAAGATTGCTCAAAAACCAGTTTAATACGAAATCTTGTAGAGCTATGAAGGCCTATGAAATTTGGATGAGAAATGCACAAAAGTGTGACTTGTTCAAAGAACTGAATGCGTAATTAATGCATATATGCGTATTTATGCACCATTTCTGTAATTCGAGTGGGACTAGTTGGCAATTTAAAAATAAGAAATTGCAGCAAATAATTTGCAAAAAGGAAAGTATCAGCGGCATTTTTGTCTACTTCATGACTGATGTTTTTACTCTTTGCTAGCATGAAATGCCAGTTTCATGAATTGCCCCTATTTTACTATTTCGAGCCCTGAAATCCATGTGTCCATTTTTCAGTTTTGTTAGTTCATAGATTGTCCAATCGCGGGTTCGTTTGCCACCGCGGTCAAGCAAAATTTAATATTTATAGCTCATTTTCTCGCGGGGTGGACACATCTGAGAGCGTCATCTTATAAAATACAGTCTGTTAAATAATTGTATATAGGCATAGCAGATCCTTATTGCCGCAATGCGTCCTCAGTTTTTATATTATAAACTGCAGTGTCCTAGGAATTTACCCAGAAACAAATCGGTACTACAGTCGAACCTCTATTAAGCGGCCCTCCATTAAGCGGCCACCCTCTATTAAACGGCCACATATCGAAGTCCCGAAATTTTTGTAACACAAATACTATAAACTATCCCTCTATTAAACGGCCACCTCTATTAAGCGGCCACCCAAAGAGCGGTCCCAAATTATGTTTTATGTCAATTTTTACCTCTATTCAAAAGCGGCCAGCCTACAGGATTTACTTGGCGCAACACCTTGTCAAGAGAGCCGAAAATAAAAGTCGAGCTATTAATTTGCTTTATTTGTAAAATAAGGCTTAAAAATGTTGTTTTAACACATGCCACTTTACTCCTCAAAAGCATTGACTACGCCCAGGGTCTATTATTTGCGTACCTCTATTAAGCGGCCACAAAGCCGATCCCCGAGGGTGGCCGCTTAATAGAGGTTCGACTGTATTAAATTGTTTTAATTCCTTTCGGTAGCCACCAGCCCCGGCAGTGACATGGAAATCATTCCTAAAAGTGCCGCTCCACACTAGGCGTCGTGCTCCAAATGGAACCGATGAATAGACCTTATTCATAAATCGTGACGAGGCCTCGTATCCTAGGATACGGGAACAAAACGCGGGAAAACAAGCGAAATCTGCTTGACAAGCCAAATTCAGATGCTATTGTGTCGACTTTAGCGGCTTGTTTCTTGTTGCTTTTTGCGATTTATAACGATTTTTGTGTGTATTTTAAGACTTTGTGCCCACAACGAAAGCGGTAAATGAGTATATTACAAAAGCGACCGGTTTTTCTCCTGTTTTTGTGTGGAAAAAATGACGTTAGCGGTGGTGTTTATCCAGAAGCGAAAAACAGTATTTTACTGAGATTTTAACATCAATATAAAGGTTTATTCCGTGAAGAATCAAGACAACTATGGAATGGAAGTATAATTTTTCGAATTTGACATAAATATGAAAGAAAATAACAGTAAAAAATCACAAGAGAACGTCAAATGTTATTGATTCGTACGGGAAAATATGAACTATGGCTGTGGCTCGATAACATTCTGCAAGCAGCTTACAAGTTTAAAAAATGAAGTCTTATATTACCTGAGTGAGTTGTAATCTTATTTCTTCAACAATAGTTTCATATTTCTTACGATTTTGGTGTTTGTATTGACGTTTTGTAGCCTTGTTGGTTGTTTGTTTTGGCCATACAAACTACGACAATAATACAAAGTCAAAGGTTTCCTTTTTCGATTGACTCCAGCATCTTTTGCTTTAAATATCATGTTATATTTTCTCAGAAGTATTTTTTTCAACTTTCAAACTCAGTTTTATATATATTATTTTCGAAAAAAGCCGTAATATTGACGAAAAAAAGCTGCCATAGCCGACAGAAAAAAAACATTTTGTCAATTTTCCCGCGTTTTTCCCTGTTTCCTAGGATACGAGGCCTCGATCACGATTTATGAATAAGGTCTATAACGACGATCGCATGGACACAGCCACAGCACAGAATAAGGTACACAGAAGGCCGACTTCTTTGTTTTTCCTATGATTTTGCTATGATTTTGGCGTAACCCGTAATTCGTCATCAAATGCTGACGCCATGGTCCTAGCCAGTGCGCGTTTGAGAGGCATTCACCCCCCTGATATTATTCAAAATGGCGGATGTCCAGGGGGGGAATGCCTCTCAAACCCGCACTGGCTAGGACCATGGCGTCAGCATTTTGATGATGAATCATGGCGTGGCAGCGTTACTCGAGTCGACCTTCTGTATACCTTGTTCTGTGGCCACAGGGAGAAACGACGCAAACTACAGCTTTGCATGGGTAGTTTGTAATTTTTATTACAAATTTTGTACAAATTTCATTTATTAGAATGTACATTCCTATAAAATCCTGTTACATAATTATCAGTTTATAAGTTTATACTAATCAAATCCTGTGGTATCTACTGTGAAAAATACGAAAGTTCATAAACTGAGAGTCTATATAGGACTGCTTGTGCGCGGACGGCCTGAGCTAGTGGTGGGCCGACCTGCTATTGTGTTTTTTGGAACTTCGGGAATTGAAGGCAGTTGATTCACGTGACCTTTATAAACATGACCATCATATCCAAGAATATCAACGATGCTGAGATCTTTCTGAGAGAGTTGTGCGATGAAATGTAAGTCTTCTCGATATGCTTTGTTTACACGTATGGTGGTACGTTTCTCTGGGCATGTGAGAGTGTGGTTACCTCCGCAAGGACGGTTAGCTACTTCTGGGAAATCATCACCTTCTTTGATCGCTCTGAAAGAAATGAATGGTATCAATGGACCATTTGCGTTATAGACTAAATTTTGATCTAGACAAAAATTTCATCACAGGTTGAAAGAGCATCACAAAATTAGTAAAATTCCAACGTTTCGTTGCGAAATGTTGTAAAATGCGGATAACATAGGGCCATTCCATTTAATGTACACACCCCCCTGTGGACGAAGTCAATAAAATTTGAACCCCTAAGAAAAAAAGATCAAAGTGCCGACACAAACACCCCTTCAGAAATTAAGAAATTTTTGCCTTACCCCTCGGAAAAAACGCAAAGATCAAAGGATGCCGATGCACACAACCCCTCGGAGACGGCTTTTTCAACCCCCCTCGGAAATTTTCGTCCACAGGGGGGTGTGTATATTAAATGGAATGGCCCATAGCCTTGCGAAGTTTGCGGGTGTTGGGGCATCAATTTCCCGTTTGTAATACAAAATGACTGAAAGTTGCAAATTTTGCAAGGCTATATTATCCGCATTTTACAACATTTCGCAACGAAACTTTGGAATATTACTAATTTTGTGATGCTTTTTAAACTTGTGATGACATTTTTGTCTAGACTTGTCTAGATCAAAATTTAGTCTATAATGCAAATGGTCCATTGATTTCTCAAAACACTCTGGTTAATTAAAATTGCTTCACAATTGGTTTATCAGTTTGTATGACACGGAGGCGTCTAAAATCGCCGGTAAATTAGTCTCATTAAAAAAACTTGTCTCGCAATTTTGCTGCGACACAGTAACACCCTCTTCAATCGTCAAGTCTCGCAACACATTTGTTGTGGGAACCTGATTCTACTTTGTGCAACGTTTCCTGCAACAATTATAAAAATGTTGCTAGACTCGACGACGATTGCAGGGGTGTGTTACACTTTGCAATTTTACGTTGAAAGGAGAGAAATTTTCAATTTCAAAAAATCGCAGGACGTCGAGTAGCTATTGGTAGAATTATCATCACGAGCTTGCTTGAAGGATCTACTGAGGACAAGAAAAAATATAAAAAGAACTTTGACGTTTCTAATTTCCAGATGACGGACTTTCTAACTTCAAGACACTTCACTGGAACCAAACACTCAAGTCTCAACTGAGATATTTTGGGATATATTCTACCTATACTGGACCCCCCACGTTTGAGATACATCATAATTAAGATGCACCTTACCCCAGTTTTAGCAGTTCATTTTGAACTTTAGCCTGACCCAATGACTCAGTTTGGTCTTTCCCACGTGGATTATGTACGTCATACATTTTCTGTCGCATATTACTGAGATCAAATGACATGGACTTGCCGTGAGGTAGTGGCTTATTCAAGGGTAATGAGGGTAACTTAGTGCCTTCACGGTACAGATGTACTGGTCTATCACATGAGATACAGTTTGCAGGTTGTAGTAACATACAACGACTTGCAGCAGCTTGGGATTTGTCTTCATTCGGTTTTCGTTGTACTTTGGAATTAAGATCTTTCAGCCTTCCCTCAAAATAATCCTTCACTGTATCCATGTCCATCTTATCCAATTTGGAGTTGACATCTGAAGTGATGTGGTTAATTGCTTGCTTCAATGTTGCTTCCTGCAAATTCAAGTAGAGAAAACTACACCTAAGAAAATGGCATGATAGTAGTACATCTCTTGTATCGATGCAGGTTATGTGGTTGGGTGAAGTCACTACATCTCTTGTATCGATGCAGGTTATGTGGTTGGGTGAAGTCGTTACTTCACCTCATGCGATGCGACCTTTGCCATCTAATATGGAAACCAGACATTAAGCAATTAAACTGAATTCTTTTCAGAAATGTAATCCTGTATGAAATGCAAACAACATAATAGTATGCTGCACAAAACGACACAATAAAGAGAGACTCGGAGCAGCAAATCTATGAAAAATCTACTCACATGTCCAACCAACTTTTCAACAAGATCTTGCACGGATTGATCCAAACAGCTCAGACTGTTATGAAACTTATCTTGACTGACTTTTTTCTCCAATTCTTTCCGATCAGCTTTCACTTCAATCTCGCGATTGATTTGTTGTCTATCTGCCTTGATGTTCTCCAGTTGATCCACATGACCATATAAAGCTTCGAGGTGAAGTTGTTTCTTGTTTTGATCATCGACAAGTTGTGACATTGCAGTGTTATGTTTGTCAATGTCATTCTTCATTTCCAGTAAGCTGGAACGAATGTGATGAAATTCCTCGCTGTCACCAGCACCAAACGAGTGTTTGCGACCAACAGCACTTGCAAAAGCCTTTCGTACCTCTGAGTAACGGTAAAAATAATTTATAGTTTTATTTTTATATATATTTTACTTGGTAAAAAAACATGCGCGTTTTCATTTATTTTGAGAGAAATTATATGTTTGGTAATAGAAAGATTTCCTACTAGAGGACTTAGTGTTGCATTTTTCTGGACCTTTTTTAAGAATTCGTCCGTGGGGAGGGGGGAGCATCTACAGAAAGGGGCCATACTATAGTGTGGTGTCGTATATCATAGTAAGTGAGTCTGGGGTCCTCGAGCTCCAGAAAATGTTGGATTTTTCCACTCCTATTGGACATTTCATGTGTTTTCTGAAACAGATTTTTGTATATACAGTGTTACAATATCACTTATTTATTTAACAACTTTATTGGTTAATATTTACAAATATGTACAAATACATTTTAAAAATAACCAGTCGGCAAAGGCGCGAACAGGACTGAAGTACCCATGGCCATGCGCCTTTCCGTTAAAATAAAACGTTAACATAACATAGGTCAACATGAGACTACATATAGTAAATTATACAGTGTGTAAAACCAATGGACAGTCACGAGACAGTGTCCATCATGTTCACGGCATATCTATATCAAAGGATGCATTGAATAAAGTTTATAATATAGATATGTTTGTTTGAGTAATTCTTTAAATGATGAGATGTTGGGAAAGCCATGTACAGGAGCTGTTTTGCAAATAGTGTTCCAGAGTTTGACAATCTGGTTATACATGCATGCATATACGTGCTTGGTGTTGTAAATCCTGTCAAGAAATGTCTTAATGCAACTATCTATAAGTGCTTTAGGATAACCATTGGAAGAAAAGGTTTTCTTAAAATTTTCCATTTCAGACTGGAAAGATATGTAAGAAGAACAAATATTGGAATATCGAGATATAAGAGAGAAAAGAAGACCTTTTTTGACATTTTGTACATCATTGGAATAAAGCTATCAAAATTTGTGAATAAGCCAGTTGAAGTGCATTTGTGATGGACTGAGGTCGTGAATAAGCCGTTTGAACGCATTACATTAACATCAAGAAAAGGGAGCGAAGAATTGTTTTCAAGTTCATGTGTGAATTGAATATTTGAATGTTTGGAATTGAGATAAGAGAGGAAGGGAAGCACATGATCACGAGATTGAAAGATCAGAAAACAATCATCAACATAACGACGATAAAACAAAGGTTTAAAGTTAGAAAGGCAGTCAGCTAACCAAGATTTTTCATGGAATGATAGAAAGATGTTAGCAAACAGTGGACCAAGTGGTGAACCCATTGCAACACCATCAACCTGCTTATAAAGAACACCATCAAATAGAAAATGACAATTCTTTACAGTTAAGTTAAGAAGTCGAGTCAATTGATCAACTGTGAAACCATGAAAGCGTGAGGTATTATAGAAACACTTATTAACAATTATACTAATAGTCTCATCTAATGGTATGTTAGTAATAGTCTCATCTAATGGTATGTTAGTATGTTATGACTTATGGGAGTCTCGCCTTTGACTTTTCTCAATCATGTGTCTGTCTAGTATACTCGCTCACAAACACATGCACAAACACCCAGTCTCCGCTTCTGATTTCAAAATCCTATCATCAGGCACTAATTCTGAGTGGGATCTTCTTATCCGTGAAAGCCTATTATATAATATCTCAACTTAACCCTGTCCTTAATGCTAATATTAGATCTACCCCTCTTGAGTTATTTTAGTTATGTAATATTAACCTTAACTATACTAACGATGCACTTAACATTAATCTTTACTTATTAACTATAGTTACTGACAAGTTCTTTTCCTTTCTTTGTATTCATTTGTTCTTTCAAACTACTAACCGTTTTTGTAATATTAAACCATTATTTTGTAAATATATATAACTATAAATATCTTTAAAATAAGATTTCCGCCTGGTGTATCAATTGCCACAGACATTGAATCATTTGAAGACAAGAGACGGGATATAAGATTCACAAAGTAAATTTCAGTTACTAGAATATCAAACCCCTTCTAAATTCCATTTTTCTTCCAATGTTTTTGCTCATATTTTAGAGAAAAGGACTTTGACTGGGGATGGGCAAAATGGGCTTTGGCCCCCACTCAGTTATATAAACCCGTTCGCAAATTGGACCCAACCTGCGAATGGGGATACTCGTTGTCTACTGTCTGTGAGCATTTAACCGTAATTTGGAAATGGCCTACTGGAAGCACACATATCCTTGGGCATCTCCTAAAATCCTTACAGATTTTCACAACAAACACAGGGACTAACCTTTTCACTAAGCAAGTTAAAAAATACATTCATATGCATCGGTATAGGACGAAGTTTTCTCTAAATTATCTATCACGTTACATTGCAAAATATCTGGAGTATTTTGACTTAAAACCTTGAGTAAAATAATACACCCATGCATGCAAAGTGACTTAAAATTTGAGTAAAATCACTCAAATTTATGAGCAAATCTAGTCATTTTGAGTAATTTTACTCAACTGATATTTTGAGTAACTGTGGGTGCATTTTAAGTCAAACAAGACGCTCTATTGAGCGTTAGTCGCTGGGGCTATTGCATATTATGCTGCATGCGATTGAGATTAAGACTGCTATTTGTTTGTTAAGTTTATGTGTTCATATAATAAAATTGTTTTTGTCAAAAATGGGATTCAAGGAAAAATTAAAACAAAGTTCATCAAACAAGTCCCCGGACTATAGACGATAAACAAATTTGTCTAAGTTTGGTTATATCCAATTCACAACTTTACATAAATCGCATGCCTTAAGGCTGCATTCCAGTTACGCGTTTTTCATACGTGCGTGTACGCACCTATGAAAAACGCGTAACTGGAATGCAGCCTTAAGTATCATTGTTCTAGTGTACTGAAGCATAGAGTATAGAACAAAGATAACTAAGCTTTAGAATTATCTAGCTACATGAATGAATGAATGACTTTTATAGTGTATAGGGCTTATCAAATGCTTAGTTACCTCTGTTCTATTCTATGTGTGAACTACTGTAGAACACTAACTAGGCATGAATATTTAAAGTTGTGAATTGCATAGCAACAATGTAACTAACTTTGCCAAATTTATCTATTATACAAATTAATATGTTCTGTGTGTTTGAATTGTACAATACCTATTGTGAGATAACAGCTGTCCTGAGAGCTTTTAAAATATCATTTGCCAGCAAGGCAAAAAGCTCTATTAAACCCTTGTCCCATTAAGCAGATTCTATTTACATCCAAATAAACAGCAACTTGAGAATATTGTTGCAATTTACGAAGTTCCAACTTTGTGAAAATTGTGAACTTTTGTCGTCTATTTCAGGCTTCCAGCCTTCCAAGTTTACTCATATAAGATGACTTTCGGTTTATAGAGTCTGGCTGATGGAAAACTATTAAGTTTCATCGAAAAAATGAAGAAAATATGCACAAAATCGATGAAACTATTTCCAAATACGCTCCAAATAGGCGGCCATCTTGAATCCAGCGACTGAAAGTAATGACGTAATGTTTGACAAAAAAATGACGTAGGTCATTTTGTGACCAACAATCCGCGATGAAGCCGAAACCTATAGTAGCTGGAGGCACAGAGTGCCCCAGCGACTAATTATATAGCAAAACCTATATACAGCAATAATGAGCACTATTTTACTCTAACAAAAAATCATTCCTGAAGGGGAAGATGTTGCATGGGCGTCATTTGGTTAACCAGTCTATCCGCCCATGCATGTCTCTTGTTGACCCATTAGGCCGCAATGAGCTCCAATGCGCCCTTTACGTTGTTATTTTACTCGCTTTAAACAATTTTATACTCCTAGAGGGGAAAATGTTGAGAATTAATGGCGATAAGCACCACGGATCCAAAAAGAAAATCGTAATAACATTCATCATTAAAACTCAGCTGTGTCCATGTCTCGTCCTATAAAGGCTATTATTAATGTCAGTTTTGGCGCCGCTCTGAACAAAACTGTCAGTTATGTTGTGTATACATCTGTTCTACAATTATTTTAATGTTTTGCATTAATTTGCGTCAGCCTGTCTACAGTCTGTACACAGGCTAGCTACACTGGCGTATATATACTTGACAAATATTTTCAAATAGAGACTCCTTTCTGCAATAGAATAAAATACTACATCACACTCACACTTATGGACGATAGAGAATAATTTATTAATTTATGAGGGTTATTGAAACACTGGTTGTCCGATAATTGAATACGAAGTCATTTGATGTACCTTAAAATGATTCCTGTTTTTTTTAAATGCAAGGTTTAGTAAAAATAACACAGAAACAAACTCGAATATAAACACATAATTTTTTCCACAATGAGTAACTACTTTCCCTGGATCACTCCTACTTTTACACGACCTGTAACGTACATGTAACCAAACGTGATTGTCCAGTGTAGGTAGAATTCTTCAATAAACTCTGATGGTTTGTGTTTGAACTACCGATCTTTCCAGCGAAGGCCTTCGACGAGAAATTATGGGGAACTACTACAAACCAGAACTGGCTATTAATTTCATAGACTTACTCCAAGTCGACCTCCACTGTTAGTGAGCGATTAATTTCCTAACGAAGTGCCTTCGCTCGAAACGTTGGAAACGAGAGTCTTAAATCATTTTTCAGTTTATTACCATCACAGTTTATTATGTGTTTATTGTGTGTTAAATCCTGTCACTAGGATTTAACACATAATCATGTCATAATAATAGACAACATTCAATCAACAAAAATATCTTACTATGTCTCACCTTGTTCATCGTCGAGTTGTTTCATAATCTTCATAATTTCTTTTCGGATATTTTCAACATCAGACTTCATATGATCTTCTGATTCTTTAAGTCCACCAACAGTTTCTTTCATTTCATACAACTGGAAGAAATTTTGTTTCATTTCTTGTAAACTCTTACCCAAGCCTTGTAATTGTCCTTCCAGAGAGGTTTCTAACTGACTGAGGTCTTGTTGAGAAGCGATTGGTTTAGGAAGTGAAAGGTCTTGCATCTGTGCTAGTTTGTTTAACTCATCCTTCACTTGTTGTTGAATCTCTGCCAGGTTCTTCAATTCCTGCTCCATATTCGACCAGGAATTTTTATCAACGGTATTTGATAAGCATTCTTCGAGATCATGTATTTTCTGAGCAGCTTCTTCGCGGAAGTCAGACCAATCATGCATTGTCATGTAAAGTTCTTCAAAAGCTTCAGTAGTAAGACTACCGCGTCGTTCGTCCTTTTCACCTCGTTCTTCAGCTCTAAATGATGCGGCACCAATACTTTCAACTTCTGAACAAGCGGTTCCATCATAATCTGCTTGTTCGCTTTCCGCTTTTTCACTAAATGGTGTTGTTCCAGTCGTTTCAGGCTCTGCTTGTTCACTATTTGGTGTTGGTGACTTCGATGGCGTATGTTCATCGTTTACTATTGTTGATGTTGTCTCAGTTTGTGGTTGTTCATCACTTGTTCTTTCTGCCGGTTCATCACTTCCTGTTGTTGTAGTTGCTGTTGTCTCCGTCTGCGCTTTCTCACTACTTTGGGTTCGTGTTTCCACAGGTTTCCCCGGTTCATCGCTGCTCGGTTCTGACTTTGCAGTTTGGGCTCTACTTATTGTCGGAGAGGTTTGCGCTGGTTGACTGCTGGTTTCTATCGTCTCAGTTTGCGCTAGCTTACTGCTTAATGTTTTCTTAGGGCTCTTTGGGACTGTTGGAGATAGTTGCCGATAATTTTTCAGTTTAAATTCCATCATCTCATTCATCTTCATCACTGTTATATAAGGTTTCAAATCAGTTTTATGTACGATATTCTTCAACTTCCCGTCAATTTCCGTCATTGTATCACTCATATTCTTGATCTTGTTCGACAGTTCTTTAAGTTTTCCATCGGGAGAATCCTCTTTCATCTTCTTCAATTGTTCACTGATATCATCCAACATGGCTGTGATACCGTTAATTGCTCCTTCAGCTACTTCAATTCTACGAACGAGATTCATTGCCTGCCACATATCTCCTGCTGCGGTCGTACTGCTGTCTCGGCTTTGCAAGTCTCGGGCTTGTTGGACGATTTCCAAATTAGTAGGAGCTGCGGACAGGGATTCAAATTTAGCCTCAAGAATGGAAATCTTTCTTTCCAGTTGAGAAAGACCTGGAACCATTTCAAAAAAGCTTCGTTTGAGTATATCTGTTTTACTCGAGGCAGGGGAAGTACGTTTGCTTTCCTTTGTGACCGAAGAAACAGATCTTCCTGCGAGATTAGGCAAAGCTAATTGTGGTGAATGTGTTATTTGTGACAGAGGAGAATCAGTTTTAAACTGAGTTTTCTCATCTGGACTGCGTTGTTTGGTTTCTTCTTTTGTATCTTTCTCGTCAGCAGTTTTGATTCCCTTCCCGTCAGCACTTTTGACTCCCTTTTGATCTGAGCTCGTACTCTGGCCAGATTCAGCTTCTCCAACACTCTTCATTTCACCTGTACTACGTTTTGTTTGCAAGCTCTCTTTACTCTCCGTTGTTTCTTTCATTTGTCCATCAAGACTCACACCTGTAGATGAATAAATAGACAGTTGATTATACAAAACATTATAGACAAAGGCTGATATCTAATAATAATATCATAGGTGTTTTACAGTTTAACGTAGCCCAGTGTTGAAAATTTTCGATGTAATTTCACAATTAATCATTTTACCTGTATTGTGCTTTGTTTGCAAATTTTCTTTGCTTCCACTTGCTTCTAATCCTTGTCCTTTACCACTGCCACTGGGGCTTTCTTCTGTTTGTAAATTCTCTTTACTTCCTTTGCTTTCGATTCCTTGTCCCGGAAGGCTTGTGCCTGGGCTGCGTTTTGTTTGCAAACTATCTTTAATCTCGACTGATCCTACCACTTTTCCTCTATCTTGTCCGGTACGACTACCACCTTCATCAGGTCTCACTATTTCACTGATGCTATCCTTGACTTGCACCCCACTCGCAGTTGTATCAAGCTTCTCCAACGCATTCATGCTATCTCTTGATCTTATTTCACTGCCGCGTTTCCCACCATCGAACGCTGTTGAACTATCGCGTGTTTTCAATTCACTCAAACGCGTACGTTTCCCATCAGCTTGGTCACTGAGACTGCTGTATCCAAGGAAATGTGTCTGCGACTTTGTCCCGCTCAACATTCGTGTCTCTTCCAAGGCAGATTGTATGCAGATATCATCTGCAATGTCGATCTGTTTTCGTGCTATTGAAAAATGTTTAACCAACTCCAGTAAAAAACGATGAAGAAGATTAAAGTTGACAGCTCCTATTTCTGGAGTGCCCAAGGAGAGGTTAAGCAAGTCTAGTATGGTTACTGTGTTGTCCTCACTCATATTTTATTTTTCAGTTTATCCAGCAACGTCTGTGTTTATTAACGAAACATTTTGTCTGCTAATAGAACGCATTCATTATGACGTTGTTATTGGTCGCTCGCGAGATCCTAATTAGTTTCGCGCGCGCGTAATTTTCATGCGCAATTAATCAGTTTGACAGCATGGATCGAGACATATTCCATAAAACATAAAATGCATTATACTAAATTTCAAGGGAAGAATATTTTAGAATTTAATTAAAGCTGCTGCCATAGCAAAGATTCCGCGTTTACTTTAAACATGGTAAGAACACCGAAAGATTCGGCTTTCAAAAAAATTCGGAGAAAGGAATTATCTGGAGGGACGAAGCACCAAGAGATTGTCCCGTTGTGGCACAATGACATAAGTAAAACACTATATAGTGGTAGATGAGGAAACACTCGATTGGTTTGCTTTATCAGGCTTTTAAAACCATTAAGGTTACAGAACACCTTTGAGTGTTAATTTTGCCTAAAATTTTTTTATTGGTTTCAATGAAAGCATTAGACTAGTTCTACTATCTGACCAAGTTTGAACGAAAAATGTTGAAAACTCGCAGAGTTATTTAATAAAATACATTTCGCTGCAATAAGAAAAACATTGAAAATGTAATATTCAAATTCAATTTTCTCCCGAAAAAGTTTACGGTAATTACTGATTTTCAAACGAGTTGTGCTCCTGCGGGTTTTAACTAATTTTTCTCAAATTTTCACAGGACATAGCTAAAGACGTCAGTTTCAAAATTGTGTTCGGCTTTTTTTTAATTTTGGATATTTTAAAAATAAAGGGCAATTCACTCAAACAATTCAGAAATATATTGCAGTCGTCAAAGAAATCGCCATATCAGCGGAATGACGAAATAAACAAAAATTTCCGAACACAATTTTTTAGAACAACTATTTTACTGTATAAAAATGATATTTTCATAAATATAACTTAAAACCAGCAGGAGCACAACTCGATCAAAAGCGTAACGGTACCGCGATTTAAGATTTTCCGGAATAATTCTTACATTATTTTATAGTTTGTCATTTTTACACCTTTACCATATTTTGCATGCACTGGAGAACATTTGGTGAAAATTTGATGAAAATCGGACTGATATTGAGCGCGCAGTAGTGATTTTCCGAAAAACGCCAAAAAGGGTGTCTGTAACCTTAACGTGACATTATAAGATAATCTAGCTAATTCAGAAAAAAGAACGTTTTTTTGTCAACGCAGACGTCATATTACCGAGGGGGACTGGATTAAAAACTGTATTTGTGTTTGTGTCAGTTTGTGGTAATCTTCAACACATACGACAAAACATAAGATTTTTAAAGTTTTTTGCTTCTTAACACGACCGCTATGATGCAAGATGCCGTCAAAATTAGTTATACCAATTTTCAGGTGACGTCCGTGATAAACCATGCTAGTTGCAGTAGAGTTGTTACAAGATGGTTTATTGTTGACCCGTTTGGATCAGGATTGGGTGTTACATGAAGTACAGGCTTTAAGGATACATGTGATAATTGCCTGACGCTCCATGTGGACGAACTCCGTGTGCGCAAAGAATAAACGTTCGTCTGATAATCCGTCTGCATATAATTGCAATAATCAGACAGATTATTTCCCAGGCGAGCTCTGCGTTTTTCGTCTAAACGAAGGTAGTTGCGCGCGATGTTCATCTTGACGATATGATTCATCTGCAAAACAGCATTGTACGAACGGTCAGCAAAAACCAGGAATGATTTGTTACCATGAATATTGCTAGACAGAAATATAAATTGCGCTATACACTTTCACGCTCTGCTTTTACACACACTTTGCACGAATGATTGCCTAAGGCATAGTGTTTTGATACAACCAATCAAAATATGCTTTGACAAAACCGGAAGTAAACCTGCTTATGCACTTGATAATATTTATAGTTGCCATAAACTTTAAAATATCCTTAAAAATCTTCAAAAACGCTTTTAATGATCTTTATAGAAGCATAAATATTCACTCATTCCCAGCTTGCTGTAAAACAATGGAATGAGGGAAAATAAAGAGATGTCCCGGCCAATTCAACAGATTTGAAACACTTATATATGTGATTATTTAAATATTTAAACTTTATATAAACTATACAAAGTTTTAGCAAATGCGGTTCATATAACGCAATATTTTAAACGAAATAAATTGGAAACTTTAAAACGGGAAAGAGGTTGGCTGTAAAATTGTTTGTACATTTTGGCAGGTTGTTTGTAATTTTCACGTCAAGAAACACAGTGCAACCTGCTTCAGTAAATTACTATCATCTCGCGTCATGTGCGCTCTGTAGCTATGAGCAGTGAACTGGAATTGTCGAAGTGTGTTGTAAGATCGTGAACTGCTAGTCCGTACTAACAGCTATTTTTGTCAGCAGCAACCGCAACTCGGCGAGTTCATTATAAAGGTTAGTCAGTTTTATTCATTTTATGCCATAGTCATGATTGAGTTAATATTTAAAAAGTTTGTAGCTATAGGATTTTTATGTTTCAAAGGTTTTACTTCAATCGAAATTTGAGTTCAGACAAACAAAATTACAGGTGGTAGTTCATAGCCTGTCATTAAATGTCAAATTCTCGTTAGCAACCCTTTTTATATAGAACACATTGTAAGAGTATTTCCTAAACTATCTTATTTAAATAGTTTTCTAAAAGGTTAATTCTATTAACTTTCAATATAATTTACTTTTGCCGTTCTAAAACACTATTATTTGATGTCATAAATTATAAAAAGAGAACTTATATTTTGATCATGAAAGATGGTTAAAGATCATTTTGATATCGGGGGCAGTCGACGATTACAGCCTTAACCTCTAATGAAACAATGCCGGAATTCTAGTAAAATTTTAAATGAACCTTTCCGCTGTTCCACTTTATGATTTTCATTCGATGAACACTAACGGTAAATGTATCAGAAAATACTATGAAAGATAAAAGATAACTTTGGCATTGAAGGAGAGGGAATGGGTGCTACTGATTTAGTGATTATAGCAACCTGCGTTAATCTGATCCAAAGTCCTTTTCATTTCAAAAAAATGAGAATACTGTGATTTATATCTGATTATATGATTTATCACAGTCACGTGACAAACATCACAACATTACTAAACATCAGGTTTTCTCTTAAATTTTCCCAAACTACATTACTGTCACAAAGCTTTGCTGTACTTTAAGTTTATCCTTATTAAGAATAGACGTTATTTCTTTGCTTGATTTAGTTTCCTAGGTTATATTCGTTTCCTATAGTAGCAGTACGTAAAATTGTTTTGGTTGTTACGCTTGATGATTATCTAAACAGGTTGTAAAGCGAAATATAACAACATGCCTACAAACAGTAACCAAAGTTTGGGAAAACTGAACGTTGGATCCTCTAGCCAAGATGTTTATGTAAAATATCAACTGAATATTAATCGAACGTATCTTCTTCTAATTCCATCCAGCGTTTCCCTGACGTATAGCGAACATTTACTTTCTATAAAGTACCTAACTAATAAAGTAACTACAGTAAACGGATAAACCTATAATAGTATTTATTTCTGTATTTTATCATTGCTGCTTAGTTAATCAAGAATCTGCAAGTAGACATAGGGATTGTAGTATTACGCGAGACTAGCTATGCACGAGTGCATGACGTAATTGTAGTACCAGTTAGGAACTGATTTTACTCCACTTATATTCTTTCAGGGCTCGGCCATAAGCAAGATGGACTTAAGGATTTTAGTATTGAGTCTATTAGCCATTACTGTTTCGACATATGCGAAACGAGGTAAGGTTTAATAATTTTTCGTGTTTGTGGTGACCTCTTGGATATTTAACATACTAAAACTGATAAATGTAACAAATAGTCGAAGATAACTGAAAACTGCTCTTACAAAATCTTAGGGACAAATTTGTAGAAAAACAATCCTTTGTTTGATGTAGTCTATTTAAATTGGTAAAACAACGAAATCTAAACTATAAGATTTGATTTCAACGCCAGGGGAATGAGAGCAGGCATTTTGTGCCAAATCCATATATTCTGATCATACGGATAAACCTATTAGCCGTAACCGGATAAGAACAAATAGATCTTTTCTAGTTTTTATCTTTTTCTTAACTTGTATAAACCATATATTCTCTCGTTTTCTCTTGGAAATTCATTTATTTAAAATCAAAATTTTATAGAATGTAATGTTCGACCAAAATGTTCCAGCTAGCCCTAGGCCCCTCTGCACATTCCGACAATCAACCTTGGCTACCTTTTATGTCCAGAGTCCAGACGTTTTCAAAATGCATGAACGACGGTTGGGATTTCATAAACTTCAGTCAAGTAACAGAAGCAGTAACAGTACTAAATTTAGTATACAACAATACATATTAGAATTTTTCAATCTAGTATATCATAATTTTTTTCCCTTTACTAAATTAGTTACTGAATCATATCTTCATCATGGAAAAATAATACAGATTGTAAAAGATGTTAAAAGTGAAGGTACGTTAAACGAACAAAAAGATTTACAAAAAATATAAGAGTCATTTTCTTGATAATTTGTTTAGCGGAGCAGGTGTTACCTGCCGTATTAACATTCCGTGGGTCTGCTGCTACTTCACAAAATAATGCTTTAAAATTCGATTCTGGTTTTCTAAAATTAATATTACGTGGTTTATTTAATATGCCCAGATGTTCAAGTCGTTTTTAGAAAAGATTGGCACAAGCCCAGAAGAAATCGGGTACACCCCTTAATGAAAATCGTTTATTCGGTCAACTGTATATAATGAATATTAGAAGGTGCCCAAAGCCTTGTAATCAAGAGAGTATAACTGTATGCCTCAATGTATGTCTTTATAAAATGTTCACTAGAAAATTGGATGAAGTTGACGAAAGCTAATGTTAACCGTTCATATCAAAATAATCGTTGCAACAATCAACTTGACCATTTTAACACAGTATATTTAGTTCAATAAAATCAATACTTCCCATCCCCCGCAATAAGATTTTTTTACCACTTCTTCAAAAGTAAACAGAAAGAGCTAACTGCCAGGTTTAGTGCTTGTATGCTGTTTGTAATGGTAGTATTTACCAAAAAGGAATCCACACTGCTTGCACTGCGATCAAACAATTTACTTATGATTAACACTATATGTTCTAGATATTGCCAAACGAAGTGCCAACCCAAGCATGTGTGGTGGAGGATGTCAGCCAGCTCAACCACAATGTTGCCCACCACCTATGCCCCCACCTATGCCAGGTCCACCGGGTATGATGGGCCCTCCTGGATGTCCGGGTAACCCTGGACAACCTGGATGTATGGGACCCCCTGGTCAACCTGGATGCATGGGACCCCCTGGTCAACCTGGATGTGCCGGACAACCCGCACCACCTGCAGCTTGCCCACCTATCTGTGTTCATCATTGTATGAAGATCTGTCCACTACCATGTTGTCAACCACCACCACGTCAATGTCCATGCCCACCACCACCACCACCAATGGGATGTGCACCACCATCATGTATGCCACCACCACCACCACCCCCATCAGCTGGATGTTGTGGAGGTGGCGGTATGATGCCACCACCAATGGGTATGCCTCCAAGACCACCAATGGGAGGTATGCCTCCTCCACCTGGTGGTTGTTGTGGTGGTGGTGGTATGCCACCACCAATGATGCCCCCACCTATGCCCCCACCTATGCCACCCCCAGGTGGCGCTGGATGTCCGTGCCCACCACCCCCACCACCAGCAGGATGTGGTGGACAGCCATCATGCATGCCACCTATGCCACCACCATCACAGGCATGCTGTGGAAAGTAAATGTGTAAATAATACGAACTGAACACGAAGAAAACTGTGCAAAAATTTGATGTTTCACTTACAAACAAGTGACACTGCCTTTGATAAAGGACTAATATGAGCGCGTTCACCAGCATCTAGACGTGCGATTGTTATTCGAATTTGTATTTATGTCTTTGAACCAGAGAGTTATTAAAACTGGAATACTGAACTAATAATATAGTTGGACTACTTTAATTTAATATTTTCTTACTGTAAACAATAAATAAAATGCTGTCTATATTCATATTTAATTATGTTGTGATTTGATGTCGCGTTCTAGGTAATGTTAAATAAAGTTGTTAGCATGGCCTAAAGTTGCAACAAGCTTGCTTATTATTAACATATATTTTCGAGTCCAAGTATAGATAAAGTATAGGTTTCTGAAAGTTGGGGCTTAATATTCTGTGTAAAAAATGTATATAATATTCACTCGGAATAACCTTTCAAGAGAGTTTTCTAGAAGGTACTCATTCAATAACCTGAAAGAAATTAGTTAGAACATGAAAGAGTATAGTTGTATGTACAAACATATACAATTGACTCCACCAACCTAGCTACTACCTACGTGATAGTATGGTACTCGGCTGAAAACAAAGAGGTACCAGACCGTGTATCGGCGTACCTCTGGTACGTAAGTATGCGAAGTGTCGAACCCTGAGTTAGAATTCTAACAGCGTGTTACACTGTATAAAGTGGGCACATTTTATATCATTCTTCACTACTATGCACTACAGGATCTGTACTTGGCGTTGCAGAGATATTTGCCAGTAGATTTGATAGCTCGACATGTTTCATTTAAACTTAAACTTTGTCAATAGTGACTATAGGGACTATGTACTGGATTATACTAACTAATTTGTTATTGATAAATCATAATCGTTTTAATATCGTATATAGAAAAGAACCTTGTCACAAACGGTCATAATGTAATTGTTCAGGTCTGGGTTTTTTTCATTTTAGTTGATTTTTAACACACACCTTGCTATATAATTTTATTATTGCTGGTTCACCTATCTATAGACATCATAAAACTACCTATTTATGGTTAAGACTGGATAGCGCTATCCACCGAATAGTGAATTTTTCAAGCTTTCTAAAATTATCCGTATACATAGGTATTACCAAGATTAAGCTTTAGTATTTGTAAATTAAAGTTTCTTTTTATGAATTGTGAGGTATGGATCCGTACTTTAATAGCCTTTGAAGTGTGAATAATTTTTTACAACGGTTGGAATAATCACTATCCGGTGGATAGCGTTATCCTGCCTTCGTATACAACCGACCCCAGGGAATACATAATGGAGCTTAATGCACTCTATTAACAACTGAGGTAAACTCAACGTACCAACATTGCGCACGAGAGCCCGCGTCATGACGTCACATATTGAATTCGTCTTTTTCAAATAAACATTGAGAAATTTGCCAGTACATTTATCCCATAATTATGTAACTGTGCAACAATAAAGTATAGTTAACAGTATTTTGGTTTTAATTATTTTTACTGTAAAGTAAAAATTCAAAAAGTGCATGCGAAAAACTGAAAATGTTCTCAGGTTTCAGTGTTGCTTATGCAATACGCAAAGAATACAGGAACCAACTCTTTCCAGGTCTATATATATGAAGCTCCGTAGGCATCTCTTGTACATGGGTTATCAGAGATGGGTTACTGTATAGTGCGGCTTTGTCTGTTCGCTAAGAAAATGCCTGCGGATGAGGCTAGATGTCCTTTTCCTATAACCTTGCACGACATGCAAGTGTTATCAACTTTGTTTCAAATGTTTTAGGAACGTAGTTGAAGATTTGAAGTCTTATACATTTCATAGCACTTCGCCAATACAAAGACAAGCATTAGTTCCCCCGAAGCCAAATGAATTGGACAATGCGATACGTCTTTTACCTTTACCAACAAGCAACTCCTCGCATTTGTTTGGAACGTAATTCAAATTAAACTCAGATTTTGAAGATACTTCATGTAAGTTTAATGTTGGCGGTGCAACACCCTAAAACAAGAAACGGTTTTTAGTAGAATAAATGGACAATACTTTATCAGAAATATTGTGGACGGTTTTTAAGGGATAGTGTTAGGATTTGGAAATATATACTACTACTATACTATTCCGACTTAAACAGCAATGACTTTTTGGGTGAAAAAGTACGTTGAACTGCAGGATATTCAGGGTATTCAAATACACTTTCAAGCTCCGTCTAGACGGAACCGGAAGAAGAAAGAAAAATATTAAATGTACATACCTCATGTACAGCCAAAGTTGTAAAAACTGCTTCAATGGCGCCTGCTGCACCAAGCAAATGGCCAGTTGAACCTACATAATCACGCCAAATACACCATTCAGTTGGAAACACCTGTGGCCGAGAAAATCTCGATCATCTACTTTTTAATTACAATTTTATAGTTAAATAGTAGTTAATATTAAAACACGTGATTGCGTAATTTCTACAGTAACTGTAGATAACTACTTTTCATGACTAGACTTTCATCTATTTGTATCGAGCATTACAGTAGTGAGACCGTTGGACGTTGGTACGTTAAACCAGATTCGATTCCCAATTGAGTTTTCTGCAATTAAATTTTTCAGCGAATGATTGGACTTCATTTGGCCACAACACATTACTGATAAGCACGCGAAGTACACATGACGTACACACGACTTCGCGAACGTCTATATACTACACTACCTACTGTATTTCTACACATAGTCTACTGAATAAAACAAACAAAGTCTTAGGGGTTGTTTACATGATCCCAGTTCTCCGGGACGGGATGATTTTGCTGTATTAAAAGTTACACCAGTTTCATATTATTCTGACACTGCAATCGACCAACGAAAAATTCGCTGACTCGAGCGGGATTTGAACTCGCATCTTCGGGTATCTAGACCGCCGTTCTTATAAGCCCTGGGCTTATATAAGTTCGTAATCGTTTTTTGATGGGCTTATAGACGGGGGGCTTATACATGGACCATCGTTTGTGTTAGTAATAAACTGTCAGGAGAATAACCATACATTTAATGCATTCTGGTGAACAATTATTAGCATATTAAGCTATAAAGACAAGGTTTTTTTTAGTAAACGTAGTGTGGGCTTATATTGTGGTGGGCTTATATTCGGGGAGCTTATATTTGGAATGGTGTGAACGTTAGTAATGTGATGGGCTTATAGACGGGGGGCTTGTATTCGGGCGGGGGCTTATAATCGGAGGTTTACGGTAATTTCATAACACATAATTAAGAAAATAATAATATTAAATTATGATTAATACTTATGATATTACAATATTAGGCGGAAATGCAGTTTTGCTATGAAAGCAACTATGTAGGTCTAGATGACAGATTTAGTTCATATTAACTTAATACAATCCTTTGAATAAAAGGAACACATTCAATATCAAGTTTTACAAGAATAGCACACAACAGCATGTGGGCATTAAATTAAGAATCCAATCAAATTAAAATTTGATTGGTCTATCTGCATTTAAATTGCAAATATAAATTAAATTGAAGCCTATTCATTTCCCAACACAAAGCTAGATGCCTTCCGTCCACTTCTGGTGCTGACCATTCGTCTCTTAGCGGATGGTGGAACTGGTTCGTAGTCGCTTTCTTCGGTTTCGCTATCAACCATACCATCACTGCTACACAATCGTTCATCGTCACTACTCCACGTTTCTCCTACAATATCGATGTCATCTCCATCAGTTTCTTCTTCATCATCGGATACGTTTTGGCCAGGTTGTAAAAGACGCTGGCCTTCCACTGTCATTGTCTGCAATACTTGTCCTCTTGTTTGTTGGAGGTGGTTAGTAATTGTGCGAATTTTCTCAGTTTTCAACTTTTTCTTCCAGGGAAGAGAGTGGTGTTTTAAGTACGTATCAAGTTCAAAAACATAGAGAAACTTCAGCCCTCCAGTTAGCAGAAGTTCATCCCAGTTGTAGTCCTTGTAGCATTTTGCTTCACGGTTCCGTCGGTTATCTGCTTTTGCTTTAGTTCGCAACTCTTTGGTAAAGTTGATGTGCTTTAGATGGTCCACATATTTTTTTACAAGTTCCTCAGATACCACAAATTTGGATGAAAAATCAGCAACTTCTTGCGCTGTATTCAATTTTCCTGCACTAAAGAATTTTTTTATTTGTGCTCTGGGCATATAATCATCAATAGGACGCAGCTTCCCGTCTGAAGATGTAGCAGGAGATTCAAAAACAGTTTTGTACCTAAATGTAGTTTCATCGGGGAATGGGCGTGGTATTCTATCAATTTGAGAGCCAGTCCAACCACTTGCACATGCAGCGCATTGCTTCTCAGCCTTAACTTTACAGGCATCCTTGACAAACTCCATATAAAGCTCACCGACATCATAGTGATCTTTTATATAGTTACAAATTTTGGCAATATAGTTAGAACCGGGTATATTCTCTTTTGAACTTTCGGATGCCTTTATATAATCTTGAAGTTGGTTTTTGTTGAAAAAGAATGTCTCCTCGTCCTTCTCTGTTACAAAGCCTCTTATATATTCCGAAAGAACAGGAGCATCGTCAATCCGCAAAGCTATATCGTGGGCAACCCGCCAGGCGTTTCTCTCCGTCCTTTCGTCTTCATGTGTTTCATACTCAGCTAGAGTCATCTTCTCGATATCCTCATCTGATTTGTCATAAAATCGGTCATAATACTCCCATTTTATTGAACCGCCATCAATAACCGCATCTCCAACCGCAGAATTAGTTCGTTCTGCTTCCCCCTGACCGCTGTCTTCGCGAGCTCGATGTAGTCTGATGCGGTAGTCAGAATTCCAAATTCTTGACAATTCAGCATCTCGGAATTTGACCTCAAAGTTTGAAATTGCAACTCCTGGTCCTGCATCAGTCAGGTCACACCAACGTGGTCTAACTGCAGGAAGATCTAGCTCTTTCAAACCTTCAAGTAGCGACTTACATCTCTGCTGCAGGTTCTGTATTTTGCTTGCAATGGTACAAGATTGATCGTGGTTCGGATCTGCAAGGAAGTTTTTTGCATCTTGCAAACTCACAGAGATTTTGTTTGCTAATGGTTCAATTCTTGAAGCTAAAATGACTTTCTCACCGTCCTCTAGGCATTCATTGTTGTTTACCTTTAAAGCTTTGTCAATTCGTGCAGATAATCTTTCTAGTCTTTGCCTTTCGTAAGACGTGTGTGGATTATCTGGAATTCCAGGCCTCGAACGACAAATGTCCCTAGGTTCGCACATGTCATCATACAAGAATATTGCGTCGTGTAGATGTGCGCATATGGATCGAAACGCAGATGAATAGTCGTGTTTGTTATCGGGTATTTCAAAAATACTTGGATACATGAATCTAAGATTCATTGTTTCACTTGCCCACACGGTGCCACTAGAGCCAATAAAAAATTTCGGACGGACAAACACAAAGTGGTAGTCATCGTCAGTGATTAGTTTCTCAGTACCGTCAATTGTTTCTCCTATTTTAGAAAAGATGCGATGGGCTGACGGAGTTATGTACATTTTCCTCTCTGGCCAATCATGAATAGGAAGTTTTCGAGACCTCTCCTCTGCAGTAGGTTGTAAAATTCTCTGGTTTCTAGCGTGGTTCATTCCTTCGCCTGTTCCAGGTCTTATGTATGCTTTGTCGTCTACTGACCGACAAAAGCAGTACTTTCGGTTGCTTTCATTTCTGCGAGACAAGAATAACATTTTAACGTTATTAACGTGAGCCCTCTGGTGATGGGTGGACTCATTTTCGCAATGTTCGGTTTTAGGCGGCTTTTTCGTACAGAATAATCCTTTTCCCAGATGGAGCTTTGCTTGAATAGAGTTTTTTCGCCGAGGTTCAGACCGATTCCAAACAGTAGTTTTTGAAGTGATTAAAGGCTTTCCCGCTAAAGCCAAAAAGTGGTTTGCAATGCCAGGTAAATCAGCGACTTTTACGCGACGGTTTGTATACATTGTTGTGTTATGACGCCGTCCATGATACGTCGCTTTGTCTTCAATTGCTTTTGCAATTTTCTCTTCTGTGTCGCTATCAATCAAGGACTTCCTTCCTTGATCCCCAAGTTTTCTTTTACCAACTCGATTCACGGCAAGAAGCTGTCGTGCTTGACGTTTACTCATCTGCTGCAAGCGTTGTTTATGTGTCTTGCTGCTTCCAGTCTGAATATTCTCTAATTCCGTCAAGCGATCTTGGTCAGCTTCAATCTTATCTTGCAATTCATCCAGTCTTACTTTTGACCAGGTTTCACATCTTTTCCTGATAAGTTCTTCATTTTTCTCGATCTGAGACCTGATGTATTCCATTTTTTCGTTAATTTTACTGCGCACAATATCTTCACCAACAACTTTTGAATTTCTTACAGCATCCAAAACCATCGGAACATGAGTTTTCAATTTCTGTGTGGATTCCCTTCGAACACCTAAAGACTCCATAGCACTCCCTGTTCTAGTTCGGCTGAGTATGTATTTTATCATATTTCTGTCCCATTCTGTTGACATACTTTCTTGTATCAAGTCAACCTCCGCTTTTGAAAATTCTTCTTTGCTGCTAGTTGTCATGTTTAGAGCAAGGAAGTCAAAGAATCTTGAAAAATCAAGACTTTTGTCTGAGCGTAAAACGATTACTTTTTTTCCAGAGCTGGGAAATTTCACAATGTTTGCGCATAAACCTGTCTTAGGGTGAAGAACCGCGCACTGAAAATCGTAGCGTGCTTGTTCTGATAAATTTTGAACTGACTGAAATCCCATGTACATTTCAAAACCCTCATCAAATGGGATGAAGCCAACTATTCGCGGATTTGGTCCATCAAAGGGTTCTTCTATGAGCATCTCTTGCAAAACAGCTTGAAGTCCACAAATTATTTCTTTTCTCCTTGGATTATTTAACAAAATCATTTTTTCCTGTAAGACTTGGAGGTTGTCTTGCCAATGGCAAGTTTGCAGTGACTCGAGGACATTTTCAGACGTAGATTTCTTGGAAAACTTTATAATCTTATTTCTTACTGCATGTGCTTGGTTCCTTCTCCCTTTAGTTGTATCACTATCAGTATTCTCGTCATCATCGGATTCTTCAATGCAACATGTTACTTTATTATTAATAGACATCCAAATAAAACCAAGACTGGCAATAGCTGCACAAAATATCTTGGTCAGTGTCGAATGAGGTTTCAATCTTTCTATACATCCTTTTTCAAAAAATTAAAAACAGATTAATATTAAAGGATCAGCAAAGAAAAAATAGGGTAGGGCTATTTTACATCTGTACAAAAAATTTTTTAGTCCTAATTAAATCATTACATATGTACCTTCCCGACCTCCTCTATTAAGACTATGGCCGATCACAGCTGTCGATCTTTTGTCTTTTATATTATAAAATGAAACACATTCTTTTTCGTTCATGTCACGGCTGACGGGAGATAAGCATCCGTTTATAAACCAACTGAGCCATGAACTATGACACTGATTATATTTGCCATTACCAATGTGTGGCACCGGCCCAAACCCTCGTGGTTTCCTGATTAAATTTCTTAACATGTTTTATTCATTAAAAAAATTGAGTGAAACACATAATGAAAGACAGAATCTTGTGCCAGCAAGCCATTGCACAGCAGTCTGTCCTCGCTGCGCGGTTCGCATGCGCGTGTTACTGTTACCAGGCCTCCACGGTTCGCTAGTTTCCAAAATGGCGGATTCAGAAGCAATGGAGGTAAAATTGTTGGAATGGATTAAATCCCTTGAAATTCAAAACGAACACGATGTGCTTGAAATAATGAAATGCGATGGTTTCTACAAACTTAAACATTTAAAAGACTTTCGTGGCGAGGAAGACTTGCATAATCTACCCTTAAAAAGGCAGAGGCACGAAGGTTTCTTTGTGGCTTGGAAGAACTAGAGAAAAATTGCTGGCAGTTTTGTCCTGTGAGCGATTCAAAGGAGGATGACGAACGGTCTGTCCATATAACCGTCCCGCCTACAAAGATAACCCTTGGAGGTGTGAAGATGACCGAAAAACTACGGAAACAGTTTGAGAAGGAGAACGTTATTATCACAAATCCACTAAATGATAAACACAGATTCTTCAATGACATTTTTGCTACGTTATTCAACGCTTCTTATGCAAGACTACAAAGCAGATTTGTACATTATTTTAAGGCAGAAAGGAAACAAAGATGGGAATTCAAATGTAACATTTCAAAAGTTGAGGCAAAGTATGACATATTAGTACACAAGCCAGTGGGGCAAGGTGGCGGATATGGTCTAGGTAATTACTTAGTTTTACCATCAAAGTTTGACAAAAATAATATTAGTGTGGTAAGGGGTGGTATTGATGAACTTCAAATTTTGAATACAAATGTCCAAGACCTGAATGACAAGTTGGTTAAGGACAGAAAAGAACGGTTGATGGATGAAAATAACATCATTAAAAAGTGGGCATCAACAGAGCAAGAGCCATATAATCTTGACGCTTTGAATACATGTGAACTGCTAAAAGGTGAGTAAAATATTGGAGGTTTTGTGTGTGTGTGTGTGTGTTGTGTGTGTGTGTGTGGGTTATATAACATTAACAATATATTAACAATTCAATACCTGTTTTGTGTTTCTGCTTAAAACAGCGTTTTTCCTACCAACATTGTGAATTCATTGTAATATTTAATTTGTATTTATCACAGGAAAAATTGATACTACGATTGAAAAATTGAGAAATACATTGAAATCCATGATGTGCTTGCCCAGTGAGCAAGTGTACAAAGACAAATCAGCACAAAAAGCATCCAGACGTATAAAAGAAAACCAGCATCATGGCAAGAAAAGGAAGGTATTAAAATCTCATTTATAAATATATTTATAATACTTAATAGGTGCTTTGTTGTTAAAATTTTGAAATATTATCTAGACTTGAACTATTTCACTCTTTCAGAGAGAAAGGCTGCAGAGGTTCACTTTGGAAGTTGCCAAACGTCTGGGGGCAACAATTTGTGGAGATTTATGCAGTCCACTAGAAACTGGTGATGCACAACTGAGTGCAGATGATGTCAAGGAGACGGTTGAGCTCCTGTCTGTTTACTCCAAAAATGAAAGATTGCTTGAAGCTCTGAATCAGCTGCGAGATGACCTGCTTGATAGTACTGCATGGGAAGTTGTGATGCAGTGGTTTAATGATGAGGATTAATTTTTATAGTTTGCATCCTAATTCATTGATTAAATTAAACAGATTTGTACCCTGTGGTCCTTGCTTGTAGTCTTTGACTTATATTTAAATAGGATGAACAGTAATTTAATATATTGCTGAAAATATAGTTTAATCCTGGCATATCTTCAATCAAACCTTTGATTTGCCAAGGCTGTATATTAAACTGAAGCTGATTATTTAATATGAGATATGACATATTATGTTGATATGAATGATGAAAGTTCATTGCAGGAATATCAATTGACCATTATTAATAATGGTCAAGTCTATTTCATTTATAATGCAGTAATGCATGTCAAAATTTAATCTATATACAGATTTAGAAACGAATTCTAGTATGTATTAATTAAAGGCCAGTATAAAGTATTAGGGATGGGGGGGTCATACAAATTCACCTATCTTTGTTCACAAACATATAAGGGGGGGGCATAAGAAAGTTATCAACAAAATTGGGGGGGGCATTAAAAAATGTATAGCTAAAAATTGAAAATCACCATAGCCCCCCCTCTAGGTAAATTATGAACCCTCCCTAAGGTCTATCTGTCATTTCTTATATTAAATACACTAGTCAACAGTGTTCACATTATGAATCTCCATAGCATTACACAAATATTGCCTGCTATGTTTTGACTGTTTAAAATATCGCACAATGATTGTTTTACTGTAATGTTTTTGTGAACTAAGTTGACAAATGGCTTAAAATATCCATATGAATTAATAAAAATATGTGGCATTTGCACAAATTTGGTATTAAAATATGTAATAAATATATGTGGTATTTGACTACGTACCAGATGAGGATAAGTTTCCATGTTGACAGATAACTTCGGAATAATTTCACAAGTAGAATAGCGAGAAAACAAGACAGCCAATTCCGAGGGTGGATTCTGTGTTAAAAATTCCCGAGATCTCCGGCGTGGAATCGATATCGTCGTCGGCGTATTGGCGTGACTTTGTTCTTTGTTCGTGTCTTGACGCACTGGCGCCTCAGTAAGTCGGTGTGAAATTTTGGCAGAGTCTACGTTCAGTACGTTGGCGCAATACAAATTTAGTGCTACAGTAATAATGCTAATAGAATATAAACAGTTATAAGTTTTTACCACTATTAAACTGTATATTAAAATTTATTGTTTATTTCATTTGAAATGTACATTCTTTTTGTCATTCGATTCACATGAGATTGCTGTAATCGGTAATGTGATTGGTTGCTAGTAAGAGTAAATATAATTCGATCTCAGCGTGAGTCTCGTGACGATGCTGTCGATCAGTGAGTCAATGCGGGCCCAAGCCTTGAGGCATTTTTTCTCGTGGCAAGAACGATGAGCCGATGAGGTAAGGCAATTAATTTGCATTTAGTTCACATTATTTCTGTTGAAGAAACAACGGTTTTGTAGTATTAAATACCGCTTTCAGTTCAGTCAAATTGACAAATGAAACTGGAAGCCATTTCAAGGGAAATGCCGAAATGGTTAAGTGATTTAAATAAATTATTTGTAAGCAACTATCACTGGCGTCGCCAGCACGGATAAGTGAGGGAGACATATTCATATATTCGTGTTCACAGACCACAAAAACAATCGATTTCAAAATAACTTAATAATGCAGAACACGAATATATGAATATGTCGTATTATGTCCCCCTCACTAACTGCAATCTGCATGTTAAAATATGATACGAATAAATGAATAATGCATCAACAAAGCATACTGTAATAACTGTATACTCTGAGTCAGACCAACACGTTAGGCAATGCCGCAAAACTAGCCACTATGGCAGTATGGCTTGTCTCGACAGTATCCAAAAATTTATATGCAAAGTACAATCTCAGCTCGCAGCCTCGCAAGCATGCGCCTCGTAGGCTCACTTATCGAGGTGGCGACGCCACTGGCAACTGTCCCGGCCTATAATATTGCTATTCGTTCAGACAGCAATGGTTTACTCAGTTCAGTCACTTCAGTGTTGCATAAAACATTCTCATCAAAGATAAGTTCTTAAAGTAAGTTTTGTATGCATTAAAATTTACCGAAAATTACTTTATTGGTTTATTTGGTTACAATCAAAATACTTGAAGTATATGCTTTTTTCTTTATTTGATGATTTTGATCATTTGTAGACAACAAAACACTTTTCGATAGTTTCGTTGCATAAAAGTGTCAAATTTTAGTTTTACTGCGATATTTGTTGATAACTGAAATCGGTAGAAACATACATCAAATATTCAAATTGCAAAACCGGAAGAGGGAAGCTATAGATTACAGCAGTTTCACGTGATACGCGACCACCCAAAACAAAACTTCGTTGAAGTAATGTTTGTTTTTGACATGGGGGCGTGGCTACCAAGTACCAACTAACAGTTTATATTACATCAGCTGATGCCCCATGTCAAAAACAAACATTACTTCAGCGAACTTTTGTTTTTGGATGGTCGTGTATCACGTGAAACTGCTGTAATGAATCATGTATTTTGCCTATTTTTATATGAAGTCGAATGAAGACAAGTAATAATATAGTATTTTAAAAGTTTTTGATATCGCATGCACATGGCAACTTTGCAAGCACCAAGCATGCCAAGCAAGTCAGTGGTCGAGGATAAAGAAAATTTAGAACAATCAAGGCGTCAATCCAGGGGGAACCACTAAAGGGGAACAACCCTCCCTCCAATTTTTGGAGGATTTATAATACAATCTATAGTAAAATAGCTGTAGATCTGGTAACAGACTAACAGGCTTTGTCCCTTTAACTCCTTGGTAAGAATTTTTGCGCTTCCCACCAAATTACGAACAGAAGACAGGCTGCAAGATGCTGTAGTATTGTAATAATTATAAGTTTATATAAACATGCATTGCCTTTTTAGCTTTTACTCTTTTGCAATGCTGCCGAGCTAATGGAAAAAGACAAAGTTGTAGACAAATCAAATGTATGTCATGTTTGCAATGGAGATGTAGGCCAAGCCCATTCATGTTTGACTTGCCACCGCTTTATCCATATTTTTTGTGGTACTCAACAAGACGAGGAAGGCTATGGTCAGAAAGCTATTTGCAAAGATTGTAGCGGTATATCACTAGTAACAATATTTCTTCCTAACATATTTTTGTACTGATTGTTAGAAATTAATGTCAAATTTAATAAAAATTAATTAAAAATTGCATGTTAATACATTTTTATATAATTTTGTATTTTCCTCACAGATGTTCAAATAGTTAACAAACCAGTCGAGAAGACGACTTGTACGACCAAGGAGACCCCAAAGGCAAAACGACCATGGGATTGGAAACAGTGTGGCTTATCCCAGCAAAAGTCGTCCTCTCAGATCCCTGAAAAAGTTAGAAAGACCTCTAGCACAGAGAAGGGAGTACAGCAGAAGTTCGTATGCATTGATTGTCTTGAGCAATCTCTTCAAGGAAAAACCGATGAAAGGTTTGCACAAATTTGTCGCTTAGACAACACTAGTATTAAACGCCATAAATCAAGGTGGCACTGTCCCCCAAAAGCGAAAGCTGCCGATTTGTCCCGTCAAATTCAATTCAAGTACAGGTGTTAAGAACGAAATATGATAAGCCGAAAATAATTCAATCTAGTTCTAATACAAACAAGCAAGCACCTCGTCAAGCTCCACAGCCTCTCCTCACTGAAAGTGGGGAGATAGAGTCGTTATGTGATGTTGAAACAAGGCAGCTCAATGACAAGAAAGGCCAAGATATCTCTGAGCTGCAGCAGTCGAAAGACGAAGGAGACGATTCTGATTCGATTGGCAGTTCATCAGCCTCTACAACAGTGAAAATGCAGTCAACCTTACTCCAGTTTGGTACATGTCAATCAGATAACGATAGAACGCCTGTCACTTTGGAGAAAGTTATGGAAGCAATTCAGAATCTGAATATTAAGGTTGACGACATAGCAAAGAAGCATTCCTCACTTGCACATTTGGCCTGTGAAGACAGTGACACGTCTAAAGCTATACGTCGCCTAAAATCAGCGGAAAATATTATTCAGATTGCTGAAGCAACCAATCTTCTGGAATGGTTTTATGACGAGGATGAAGAGACGGGGATACTACGCTGTTTACCTTGTTTCGAACTGTACATGGCCTCCAGGCCAAATCTCGCAAATCTAACGCCTCTAAGAGCTCAACGCCTTTTATCCTCCAGCAGTAGTGGAACATTTGCGACAGGTATCTTGTTGAAGAAGGAAACAACGCGTCTTCTTATACAAGGCCATAATTCGAGATGGTATACACAGAAGAATTCATGTTTAGAGCACTTGTGTCTAATCGGAACTGGGTCTAATATTCATAAGAAAGCGATGTATGAATATAAGCGGAATTTGCAAATCGACCAACGGAGATCAACCGCAGCAATGAATATCTTTCGTTCTGTGATAGCTGATTTGAAACTTGGTGCAGCTGCTCAGCATGTAGAAACATTAATTTCCTTGCTCGCATCATGTTCTGTAAATGTTGGCCGTATCGGGCATTGTAGAAAAAACGTCAAAGACATTCTTTACTGCCTCGAGAAGACTGTTAATGGCAGAATACTCAAGTGGTTAAGTACGCCTCTCCCATCAACGATGATTCCACCACATTATTGGGCAACCATCGACAAGAGCACACCAAGTAGAACAACAAACCCTCATCGTAGCACGCGATGAAAACGGCATTCCAAATCCAATTCCTGTGGCAGCTCCTCCAGTATACTCAGAGTTAGATGTTGCTTCTTACGAGAAGATGGCAGAGATGCTGCTGAAAGTTATTCAAGATAATTTTTCAACTGATTTGCTGGCTAGATTGTGTGCTGTTTCTGCAGATGGGCCATATCAAGCAAATGGCTTCTGTGGCAAACTTTTGGAGAAACTGGGGATTGAAGATAACGAACTTGCTTTACCCGTAATATGGGATGCTGCACACATACTAAATTTGGCTGTACTAGATGTCAAAGACTCGAACACTGACAGCGGTCAACACTTCCAAAGATTCATAAAACGTTGCAATGTATTTAATACTATCCTAGCAAATGGTAAAGGGTTTGCTTTTCTTCAACTGACTGATTCTTCTGCAAGACGACCAGTTTCATATGCTTGTCAAAGGTTCGCGAGTTCATCTTATGAACAGTGGGAAAAAATTGAGAAGAGCTTCGCTTCCTACTGGCAGGCGTTTGATCTTCTTTACCCCAATCGACGCGAAGACGAGGAATATCAGTATATGATTGCAGGGTCGGATTTTATCATGGATCTTCTCGCATTCCTAGACACGATGAAGCCGGTTGTTGATTTGATGCTCCGGGTGCAGTCTTTAGACACGCCTGTATGGAAGCTCAAGCTTTGGTGGCCAAGCATTAAAGCGTTGATGGCAAAGGCCTCCAATGAATATCCTGTTTCACTTCCAAAGTTAAATAAAGTGATGGGATCACTCAAAGCAGGCTGTACGTATAACGCAGTGACCCTTCTACCGGGCTGGTTAATTACAAATGTCGAAGGGTGTGGCGGGAATAAAACTTACACATAGTCGTTACGAGATGACGAGGATATAGAGAATGATCATGTCCAATTCGCCAAGGATTTGATGACAGCCGTGGAGAACAGGGCATTGTCCGTCACATCTAGTGCGTTTTTATCGGTATTAGAAGTCTTTGATGCCCAGTCTCTCGTAAACCTGCAATGTGGTCGAATGGTTGAGCTGGAAATAGAATTTCAAATCCCTGCTGGAGAATACGATGATTATGGTGTACAGCAATGTAAGGAGGTATTATTTCATGATTATATTATATAAAATTGTTTTGTAATTTCAACCAGTTCGTTCTTTGTCATGCAATTTGCATGCAGACATCTAAGAGCTGGTAAATTCGTTCTCTTTTCAAGGTAATGAAAATCATCTCGCAGATGCAGCATATAAAGGAGTCAGGAATGGATTTCGACCCAAGGCTAGCAAACAGGTTCATGCGTTGTCTGAAAGAAGCAGTTTTAGCAGGAGTTTGGAAAGGCCTGTGTCCGGAATGGTTTGTTGATGACAAAAACAGACCGGTACAACAGCCTAGCGATGCAGTACTCAAGGAGTTCATACCAGCTGAAACAAATACACCTTTTGATGCGATGTTTGAGATGGTTTTCAGCAACGGAAAAAGAAACAAAGTTCGCTTATGCGTCTGCATAATTAGCTCGGCAAAGCATATATCATTGCCAATAGCTCCTCAAGCACAAAATTAAAAATATGCTTTAAAAAAAAATTAAACTAGTTTAAACAATCTGTTTGTTATTCTAAAGCAATGGCAACATCAAAAATGTATAGTAAAAGGCCTGCTTTAGGTGCAAATTATGGATTTGTTTTTTAGGTTATTTTCAGACAATCCTGGCAAAAATTATGTGGACACCTAACTTTTCTAACGCTAATATTAACATTGAGACGTTCTTTCAGGAAACTTGTCGCCCCCTGCCCCCTATTCAATGTTGTTTCTCGCATTTAAATTGTAAAGTTTCATTTACCAACATTGAATTGGGGGTAGGAGGGGGAGAAATCTTCTAGGGATTAATTCTGTAGAAATACTTCTATTTTTGTTTGACGCACGCGGTGTCCACAATAATTTTTGCCAGGATTGTAGCTCTATATAGTAGTTCTTATACAGTAGGTTGGACATATAAATATGCAATTGTACATTATTGAAAATACAATATATAGCTCCTAGTTATGTATATAGTGTAGATATGTATTTATATATAGCTTGTAGATGTATAGTTATATATAGCTCATAGATATATTATAGCTTGTAGTGTACAATATATATATATATATATATATATATATATATATATATATATATATATATATATACCTGTCAACTTCTTTGTTATTTGATGACCAGTTGCCCTCGACCAGTTGCCCTCAGGGCAAGTTGGACACAAATAGAATAGTTGCCCGAATAAAATTCACTTGCGATCAGACAGTGGCCACTGGGTTACCTAGGTAGTGGGTATAAATTATGTGGACAACATGTTGACCCGTTCTCACACTGCTCTATCTGGCTATGTTATACTACCTTAGGTCTAGCTTTGGCCCACAAAAAATTTGAATCAAGTACATGTACTATAAAAAATTTATCCGACAATGAAAACAAAAACTTAAAGATGCGCAGCTTTTTGTGGCAAGGCAACTGAGTTAGTTGCCCAAGTGGGCAAGCAAGATAAAACATTTATTTGCCCGTCATGATATTTACTTGCCGCAGGCAAGTGTTAAGTTACACCTCTGATTAAATTTAATTAATTTGCTATTTATTACCTATGTTAGTTTACATATAAAGCTTTGTTTACATTTTTTCTATCAAAACAATGGACTTTATCGATGAGGTAGTGGCAATTGTCTACATTTTCTTACTTATATGGACTACCAGGGGGAAAATGCCCTCAGTCCCCCCTTGTGCCCCCCACAAAATCATATTTGCCCCCGAGGAAAAGTCCCTTTTTCGTAAATCTATATAAACAAACCAGTGAAGAAAAACAAATAGATAAACGGAAAGTAAGTTTTAGGCTTTGTCCTTGTTCAACAAAATCGATTTAAATTGTTACATTTTTCTACAAACATTTAATAGGAAAAATCAGCGATACAAAATTTGTAAGTCGATGTTTCGATGTCATCATAACACCATTATCAAGACTAAGATAAAAATAAGCTAGTTCACTAAGATTTAAATACAGAATTTTTTGTATAGAATACATTATAATAAAATTAAATTACCATGTTATAAAAACAAAGTTAATGAGGCATACTAAAATAGTTTGGACTTAATTGAGTTTGACTGTCCATTCAAACTAGGTTTATATTGTTTAATAAGCAACATTTCATGGATTAGGCAATCAAATTTGTTCTTACACTTGCGAAGGATCGAAAAATTTTTGTTAAGTGCGTCCACACTTTCTCCATGTACGTCTTTAATATGCTTTCCCACGACAGAGCTCTTATGTTCTTCAATCCGTTGATGTAGGTGTCGAGTTGTAAAACCGACATAACCAGCCTCGCACTGGTCAAAGGAAATTAAAGCCATTTTACCTAAGGATATCGCCGATCAGTTATGTCCACAAGGCTCATGACTGGCGCACCTCTATGGTTTGCTCAAGACCCATAAGCAACCTATGGAAATGCATCCCATTCTCTCGGCTACAGGCACCTACAATTTCAAGCTAGCCGAATGGCTAAACCAAAAGCTCAAACCACTGATTAACAACAAGTACATGATTAATGATGTCTTTAAGTTTGTTGAAGATATCAAACATAGGCAAATGAGAGAATCAGACATCTAGAAATAGCTACAAAAGATCAACTTTTCCAGTTTGATGGGCAATTATTCAAACAGGTTGATGGAGTTGCCATGGGATCCCCTTTGGGGCCTCTCATGGCAAATGCTATGATGTGCTTAAATAGAAGAAAAGTTAGAAAACGAAGGGAAGATGCCAGAGAACTATAACCGTTTTGTTGACGATACACTGTTGCCAACATGGATGAGGCTCATAGTTTCCATCAAACCTTAAACAACGCTCATCCTTCGCTGTCATTTACAATGGAAGTTCAAAATGAAAATGGTCAGCTTCCCTTTCTCGGTACAATGCTGACGAAAGAAGGAAACTGCCTTTCAACAAGTGTTTATCGCAAATCCACGGACACAGGCCTTTTACTTCATTATCAAAGTCAAGTTGATAATCGATATAAAATAGGTCTGATTAAGACAATGTTACACCGTGCTAAAATGTTGTCATCATCGCTTCAATGATTTAAAGAATGCGATCGGCTCCTTCTTTTGTTTGTTCGACTTAAGTACCCTGAGGCGTTGGTTAGATCTTTTATTTCGAAAGTTGTAAATGAATTTGTGGCTCAAGACTCTGGTTCCCAAGACAACGCTCCTCACCAAACTGAAGTTGACGACCGTGACGCCATTAACATTGTCTTACCGTTTAAGGATAAGAAATCAGCAACAATGGTGAAGAATCAGTTGTCTGATTTATCAAATAAAGTGGGGAAACGATTAAGGCCGGTCTTTGTTAGTAAGAAAATTAAATCGGAGTTGAGCGTACGCGAAAAGAAGCCAGCTCTACTGTCCAAACAATGCATTGTCTACAAGTTTCAGTGTGACCAGTGCGAGGCTGGTTATGTCGGTTTTACAACTCCGACACCTACATCAACGGATTGAAGAACATAAGAGCTCTGTCATGGGAAAGCATATTAAAGATGTACATGGAGAAAGTGTGGACGCCCTTAACAAAAAATTTTCGATCC